TTAATATACAATTAGCATATGGAAATTAAAAAACTGGCACAACATAATCATATGGGCAGGTCACTAAAAGGCTGGTTTACAAGGCATATTGAATAGCCGACCATTAACTTTGTTTCGTTAGCAATGTCTGGATGCTTTCTAAGTTTAAAATTCATGGCTAAAGAATGTCAATGTCGGCTAAAAAGGAAAAGAGGATGAGAAGCTAGATGTTGCACAGCTTTTATAGTACTGATAGATCAGTTTAGCTGACAGATGACCCAAGTGAGTCTTTTGCTTCAAGAAAAATAACTGAAGCACTGCCCATTTTAATCAAGTGCAACACCCTGGCAGCGTAAGAGAAAGAAAGCTCTTCTTAAATGTTTATAGATGTTTACATCTGAATGCATCATCCCATGGTATCAGAATTTAGACTCAGATTTTGAATATACTGCTCGCTATCCGAAAGACTCAGATTTTGAATCTCTGCATTGCTTAAACTGCAGGATTTGGTTAGTTGATCATGGGAAATGAGATGGGGAACTACAACACATCAGGTTTGAGAGGTATGGAATTTTTTACCAGCTGTGTATTTTTCTTTTTAGTATATGTGCAAATATCATAAAGCTGTTTGCAATCGCAATCTCCTGCAGATGAAGAGAACCCTGCAGTTGAAGTTGGCGAAAAATCTTTGGTAGGAACTGCTGATGGAAATGACATAAAAGAAGAAAATGAAATAGTACCTGCAGCTGAAGGAAAATATTTTCCTGAAGAAGTTACTAACTTGGCTTCTGATGCTACAGAGAGAATAGAAGATCCTTGTGTTGATTACCAGACATCAAACAGAACTGGTTAGCTGTTTTCTTAATTGGGCAACCTATATCTGAATTGATGAAAGCACTTATATCTTGATTACTAGAAGTTATTGTCCCCTAACATTTGGCCTTCTGTCCATAGAACAAGAAGTTACTGAAGTTCATCCTCTTTCTGAATCTTCAAAAGTTACACCGGAAACGAATGAAGCAGGTGAAGGAGACAGTAAAATGGAACTGGCTACATCATTGAATGATTCAGGACATGATAACCCAATAGAGAAGAAAATGGAGGACACTGATCTGCAAGGAACAATCAAACAACAATTTGAGAAGCAGGCTTCTTTCAAGAAAGGTATGCTACCTTCAAGCTGTTCCATGTTGCCATTGTACTAGTTGTATATAGTCTTAAATACTTCTATCATTATTGTCTTAGTACATTAAGTTTTGAATTATTTCTTCACTTCTTCTTTAACTTTTGTTCTGTTTAGTATGAGTTATATATTACTGTTTACACAAATGAAAGAAAAATCCCACCATAATAAAACCTTTATATGCTATAAACTGCAACAGAGGAAGAGGGAGCAATATCTACATCACATGATCCAGAACCTACAGAATCTATACATTTAGAGTTGAATCAACATGAATTGGCTACAATTCATCCTCATGACCAATCTGTAGATGACAGTGGATCTTTACAAGGGAATGAAGACTGTCTAGGATCAAGTTTGATTTCTGCTTTTGAGGTGAAAGGTCATCTCTCAGACACTGAGGCATTGAAAAATATGGATGAAAATGTTGATTCTAACACAGATCCAGTTATGGAGAAGGAAAGGGATGACTTATTACTGGAGCAAAAGGCATCCCAAGAACAATTAGAGTCATCTGAAGAGAAGATTGAAACTAAAGATGGAGATAAGTTTGAAAACGGATTGACCACCATAACAACAATAGCATCCAATGGTCTGAGTGGCTTAGGAAATGAAAGTGATGGGGAGCTTCCAACTGAGATGATTTTTTTTAAAAATGATTGCTCAGAATCAGAACCAGAAGTCATTCCAGTGACTAACTCACCAAATTCTCATCTAGAAGTTCCTGAACCAGAAGACAAATGCATAATTCTTAAAGAGGAAATTAGACCAATCGAAAAAGAGTCAGAAAATGGAGAACACAACCATGATGATAACCCAATCCAAACTTGTGGAGAGTCAGTGATAGAATCAGAATCCTTCAAGTCAAGTGAGCCTCAGTTTGAAGCTGCCAAGATCGGGTCTATACATGAGAACAGCGAAAAGATAAGCGTATTTAATCCTTTAAGCGACAAGGATTGTCAAACTGAGGAGACAAGGGTTGCTGAGAATGGTCACCTAGTTGTCATGTGTGTTAACAACCAAAATGAGGCTTCTGAGGACCACTTCCTGGACTCAGATGCAAAAGTTGAGGTGGTTCCGGAACTTGGAACGGTTCCACCTGAGTTAACTATCCCACATTGCAACCACAAGGAAGAGGAATCAACAGAGAAGAGAGCTGTTCAACAAAATGGGGATAACACAGAGCCATTGTATGCAATTGAAGTAGGAGGAACAGAAACAACAGAACAGTTTCTGTCTCTACAACTTCCAGTTGATCAAGCAAAAGTTCTGCCCCGTAAAAGTGTATGTGGATATGGAACTGTTCAAAGCACCAGTGACTCAATCCTAAATTTGAAGCAAGAGAGTCGCAGTGAGTTCCTTGCTACTGAAGCTTCCACTGGTGATTGCACAAACTGGATAGCTGAAGCATTAGCCTCCATGAACAAGTTCGCACTTGATATTCCTGGTCAACATGTTACACAACAAACTGAAGCACTTCAAGCAGCGGCAGAAACTAAAATTTCAGCCAACCATTCAAGTGAACCATGTGCAAAAGTTGAAGCATCTGAATCTGCAAGCTGTGGTTCTGAAACACAAGAAAGCATGGGAAGGTACAGCACTGAATCAGATGCTGATAACTTGAACGTTCGTGGGCGGATACAAAAATCTCCAAGCTTCAGCCTTGATCTCAAAAATGAAGCAAGGACTGAAGAATCAGATTGTACCCCTTTGCTGTATCATGATAAGGCTGCGATGGAAGGCTCACCATGCCACGGTGATGATGTTAGTCTCGGAAACCTTATGAAGCACACCAGCTATGAGCCAGACCTGCCACAGTACCAAGCGATGCCAGTGGAAGAGAAAATCATTACACTGGAAAGAGGTGACTCAGACAAGTCAAAGACTCCATTCATAGGATTCTTGAAGGAAGAGGAAGAAGCCCGAATTGTTGTTACACCACATATACATGATAAGCATTCAGCTACTCAAAATTCAACCAAGAATCTGTTGGCCTCACATGCTAAAGAAGCTACTCCAACTACTTCATCAAAAGGTAAAGAGAAGCGCAGGCACCGGTCTTCTCTCTTTACCAACTGCATGTGTTGTGCAACTGTGATTAACTGAATGCCTCTTAATTCATCTGTTTTGTTTTATTTTCTTTATAATTGGAGTTTTCTGGGAAATGGAGTTTTGATGATGAGGAGAGAAAGACTGTTGTTTTGCTTGGTTATAGTATATTTGATTTTGAGAAGCCAAGAAAGAGTGAGTATGACTTTCTGCAACCATGACAGCCACCCCATTGTTTGTGTTGTTTCCATTTGTTCCATCTGTTTCTCTCCTTTACTTCTTTGTCTTAAACTTACCATAATTTGTGATGTAGGTTACCCTTGATGTAATTCCATCTATTTATTTGATTGATACAATTATTTTGTAAGGTGTGTTGGGGGTGAATTGTATTAAATGCTACTTCTGATTGTAATATCTGTTTATTTATATCCATATAATACAATGATATTGAAGGTGCTATGGCTTAAATATGAAGTGTTCATTTTTATCAACTTTTGAGATTAAGTGATTGTCTAACTAATGGAGAAGTATGTGAAAGGCGCTTTCATAAGTGATTATTGACCTATCCAGAATCACTCTCAAACGAGCCAAACTGTTAGACAAAGAGATGGTATGAGTCAAACTATCTTTTTAGCATTATTATTACTGTTTTGCTGATACAAAGAGATGGTATGAGTCAAGCTGTTATCTCAACCATCAAAACTCTCTACCATGAGGAACATGCTGCATGAACAAAACAATTATTCAGGAACTTTTACTCATGCTCGTTTTAAATTCTGAAGTTTAATAGGGTTATGATTGGCCTGAGTAAACTCAGGCCTGGTCATTGAGGCAGACTAGGCCAGACAGATATATGATGTCCATTACATACTAGCTAGCCCAACCTTATGATTCACATGAGACCAGGCTAGCCCATTGGGCCCACCAGACCTAACTTGAATTGGCAATAAAAGGCCTTATCTGTATTCATTGTGGTGTGAAAACCAAAGAAGATCATGGAGGAGTAGAGGCTAAGAAAAAGAAATAGTCAAGGGCATAATCTTCACACGCTGAAAATAAACGAAGATGATGACAGGAGAGTTTGCATATTCCACGCGGTTTGAGAATGGTCTAAAGGTTGAACCTCTACAGCCATAGATTGGAAACAAAGAAGAGGTCATTGCAGAGAAATTAATGTGAAAGGATAGAATTCATGTCCAGCCTTTGATCCTGGTCAAAGTCAGACTTCAGAAAAAGTTGGAGAAACTTCATATCAAGAAACCCTTTCTGAGTTGGAAGATAATCTAAACAATTACCCACAAATAGAAAATAAAAAAGTGGAAAAAGAAAATAAAGCAGGAGTGTATATATTGGTAGCCTGCAGATGCAGTTTCAAACTGGATGGATTGGATTTTTTTTTTTTTTTTTTTTTTTTTTTTTTTTTTTTTTTTTTATAAGCGATAGTCTAAATTGTAGAGGAGATGGTTTCTCACACACACAACTGATGTAAATGGTTAAGGTAAAGCTAAAATACTCGTTGAACAAAAGATTTGATATATATCACATTGGAGAGAGTTTTTACTTTTGAAATGAAACACACCATGATATTGACTAACTATAAACGGACAAAAGGAAAAAATTACAATGTGGAATTGAATGAATTGAACAAATCAAAGGGTACTAGTTAAGTCCTACTACACTTGGTCGTTGGTTACCGACAACAACACAACTTTATTCCTTGTAGACTAATGAGGATGAATGTGAATGAGAACGAGAATTCTTCTTCAATACATGGAGAAATCTGTCATCATCATCCAATGGTCATCATCATCTTAACAAATTCATCATAGTTAACTTGGCCATCACCATCCAAATCAGCCTCCTTGATCATCTGCTCGACCTCTTCGTCGGTCAATTTTTCGCCTAGATTGATCATTACATGCCTCAACTGAAACAAGATTAAGAACAAGAAGAAACATAGATTTGCATAGTGTTAGATTCTGTTGGCACTAAAAAGGTCAATATGGGAAACAAGATATGCATTTGTCTAATGAAGCATGGTTAATGTTCATTGCATGGGAAAGGTACAGGGAATCAAGATACGGATCCTCATAAAACTTGGGTTAAAAGATATGATTTAACTTAATTAAATATTGAAATTTATTTCACGAATACCCAAATAAAACATTTTTTAAACTAAGCATTAGTATCACTTAAGCTATATGATTCTCCTATTATTTTTCTAAGTATATCCTTAGACACTCCATGCTGTCATCCCTGCAATCAATGCCTAGAAATTTAATGTCAGTGCAATGAAGCTATCCATCACTAATTCTGAGTTTGGTGAGCTATCATCTCTGTTCAGTATTCAACAGCTCAAGCTTGTTTAGCTGGTCAATTAATAAATATTGGATTTTTGTGGTCCAAATAAATACAGAACACTTTCTTTCAACAGTCAGTGTTCATATTATAAAGTCAATATATCCCTTAGAAGTAGGAGACAGAGTTTCCCCCTCAAAGATAAAACTTCCTTGGATATTGTTCAAAGAGTTAGCTTTGACACACTATTAGCATACAAACACAAGCTTTTTTTTTCCTTTTTCTTTTTTTATAATATACAAACGATATTCGGGAGGAAGGAATTGAATCTAGGACCTCGAGTGCAAGGGTAAATGTTCTTCACCACTTGAGCTACAAGCCTCTTGCAACACAAGCTTTAAAATAGCTTTTTGTCAATAATAACAGTTCCACCAATGCTATTTATATGTTTTTGGTGCTAATATGAACACTAAGAACAACTATACAATAATTTCACACACATGAAATGGAAGAAAAAAAAAATGTTCTGTGAACAAGCTTGTCGCATAAATAGCTAAACAAGTGTGTTTATACTATTTTTAAGACACAACTGTCTTGGCAAGTGCATTCTATTTAATAAGTGCAAATTGAGATGATGATGATAAAAGCTAGCCTTTCATCTATTCAGTCTCTTTTTTTCCGTAGAGGAAATGTTGCTTGTGGATGTAAGGATGGAAATTATTGTACCTCAGTAGCTGATATATATCCATTCTGATCCTTGTCAAACACTTTGAAGGCCTCTTTGAGCTCCTCCTCTGCATCAGTTTCCTGATGATTATGCATTCATACAAACACAATTAAGAACATGTATATGACATTAAGCCTTAATTCTTATATACATAAAAAAAAGCTATGCAGTGTCATGCATTATAATATTTACCTTAATTTTGTTTGCCATTAAGCTCAAGAACTCTGCAAATTCTATGGTCCCATTTCCATCAACGTCTACTTCACTTATCATGTCCTGAAGCTCCTCCTCCGTCGGATTCTGATCCAGAGAACGAATCACCGTCGCCAATTCATCAACGGTAATGCAACCTGCGCACATATTTAAACATATTAAACCATTTCATGAAAAAAGAAAAATGCATTTGAACAGAGAGAATTCAAGCATTTCACGAAAAAGAAAAATGCATTTGAACAGAGAAATAATATATAGAAACTGGTTCTAAATCTGAGAACCTACCTGAACTATAGCTAGCTATGCAAGAATATATATATATATATATATTATATGCATCACAAAGAATACTAACCAAGAATTGAGGACATGATAGTAGGAAACTCACCATCTCCATCCTTGTCAAATAGACAGAAGGCTTCTTTAAACTCAACAATCTGTTCTTCACTCAGAACATCTGCCATGCTGTTTTAATTATAAAATTTCCCCTGAAACCTCCACAACACTCAAACACCTCTACCTTTCAAAACTACAAAGTCTATGAGAGAGAGAGAGAGAGAGAGAGAGAGAGAGTTGAGTATAGCTCAATCTTAGCTGGGTTTAAGTAGTACTTTCAATATGGTAATTGGCGAGTGTAGCACATTTTTGTTTTGTTTTTGTTTAACATTATATTAAAGTAAATTAAAAAAGAGTGGTCAAATCAAGGCTTGCATATGCATGACTGGAATTTGTTGTTACAGTCATGGCTTTAGTGAAGGGGGGGGGCAAAAGAAAACAAATATTTTTCAAAATTTTATCTGCTTGCTTCACTGTAAATACTAAATGCATGAATAATATAATGAAACAAAGATTGGACAGCTGTAAGGGTTTGATGTTTAGGAGACAAAGGGCATTCAAAGGGTAAGACTCTAAAGGGTATGGGGAGGTGTGTAAATTGCTCCCACATATTCAACCCCAAAAAGCACGCTGCGTTGCTTGCACGAGAGGGGAGAGAGAGAGAGACTCAGAGAGAGAGAGAGAGAGAGAGAGGACCAAAAGCTGTATTATAAGGAAAAATGTATCAATTTTCTTTTCTTTCTTTTCAGAATACAAAATACAATACTCTTATTACTTGGTATTTTCAACGCGTTTATATTTTATCTGCAGGATGTTTTGCCTTTAGAAAAGGACCAAGAAAGAGGCTTTGCAAACTATGCCAGTACGTGACTGGTTCAGCTGAGTGAAAAATGCATTGACTTATAGATTAGTAATTTTAGGTTTGAACTCGCATAATGACACCTTGATAATGTGTGTGTGAGAAAATCCTCCTCAATTTCGCTTGTATTAAAAAAAATTATATGCATAGGACAAAAACTATTGAGTTGAGCATGTTCCATTAAAAAAAGAGTTTTAATGAATGAATAATATAAGGAAAAAAAACATAGCATGCTTTCAACATAACCTAACCCTTTTCATATAGTTCTCAACCAGCGCAGAACGATGCAGTTATCATCAGACCCAAAACGATCTGTAATCAATCTTAAAATATATGATCAGATGCACTTCTTAATTATAGGTATCATATAAACTTAAATTTTGAGGTTGAATGTTTCTTTGTTAGTTTTCAAACATATTGTAAGAACCCAATTTTGATTTGTTCTTTTCCCGGCCGCAAATCATACCTGAGACCCAACTTCCATTGACCCTTCTAGTATTGGATTGGGAACCCACTAACTATTTTTCATCATCTTCAGAAGTTTGCCTCCAACAGTGTTGTATATATCATTGTGTCTACATCGCTCCTCACGTGAAAAAGAACCCGTCAATCTCATAAAACTTGGGAGAAAAAAAAAGAGAGGAGGAAACTAGCGGAATAACATGCAAATATTGTTAGACCATCCAAGAAGTAATAATGAATAAACAGCAGTGGTAAACGTAAATCCTGGCAAATGACTCGAAATAACTATAGAGTAATGGACCCGATTCTACAAGGTCCTAGTCTTCGAACCGAAACCAACTCGTCAAAAACGACAATGACTGTGCATCCCATTGAATCTGTTTATTGGCATTCCATGACAATTGACAAACCCCACTCATTCTTTCTATGGCACAACATCTCCATTACAAAAGAACCATTGCTGAAATGCTAATCAGGTCATGGCACATGTAAAGTACAAGCGCGGCAAAGAAATTTGTTCGTGAAATTTATCCCATTTTTACCGCACGAATGGATCAATGGACGGCTTGCAAAACCAGTGAAATGAACTTAATCATATCATCACTTTCCTGTTTCTTAGGCACTCATCCTTCCATCAGCACGCAGAGAACATTCCATCATTTGAAAGTGAAATGTTATGTAATGTAAAAGGAAAAGGACATTACGGATCAAGTTAGTCACTTGTACAACATAGTTCCAACAAACTTAAGCTGTAAAAAGGTCCATCGCCACAGCACAAATGCCTTGAGGTGTTTTTGTCAAATGGAGTAGATTATCTTGTCTGGCTAACTTCACTGGACAAAGGGTAATCTTGAAAGAAAGAATGCAAACTGTAGGAGAATGCTGACAATCATTTCCCATCTTCTAACTCCCATTTCAGATAGGCCTGCCCTTTGGAACAATTTGATCTTTAATCCACATGTAAATCGGAACCAGCACATAGTAAGCTCCTGCCATTGCACCAAGAATGAGCCGGAAAAGAAACACCAATGGATTCACAGGCTTCCTTACATCCTCCACCTTTGGACCAAGCTGCACCAAAGCAAACATCTCATAAATATGACAAGTGAATGTATTAAAGGGAAAATAAGCCTCCTACTTAAAGTCTAGTGCATCTTCCATTGAATGCTGAATGATAATCCTCTAGGGACAATGACTACTTCACAGAAAAGGTGTAGTCAAACCTACTTTTGAACTAGAACTAGTAAAATGCCACATCTTCATGTAGACCCTCATATATTCAAATTGTTCGAAATCCTAAAATCTTAGATTGTATTAAGTAGTATTTATTTTTCCTGTTCTCTGCTTTAGTTATGAACCACGACCACCATCATCTCCAACAGTGCCACTACTATTTGTCAGTTGTCAACACTAATACCATTACCACAACCACTAGAACACCACCACCAACATCACCCATTCCAATAATTAAAACACTGTAAAGTGTAATCACTGACCCCAGAGCCACAACTCACACCTGTCATTATCATTTCCATCAGTATCACCATTTTGTAACAATCACCACTGCCGCTGCGCCACTGCCAATGTGAAAATCACTTCACCGCCAGGCTGCCAGTCGTAGCTAGTACCAGAACCAACCACCATAACCTCCACCACCACACAACCACTATAATCGTGTTTGATTTCCAGCATATTTTACAATTCCCAGATAAATTTAGAAACAACAATGATGAAATGAGAGAAAAAGAAAACTCCAATGCCATTCTTGCAGCCACCTCCACCTCCACCTCCATGGCCACTCACTGCTTTTTTGATTTCCAAAAATATATTCTAGTTTCCAAAAGAAATTGGAAACAAAATGAAGAGAAAAAAACACATGTTGCAGTTTTTAGAAAACAAAAACATGGAGAAAGAAATATATCCAAGTATGCCATTGGAATGAGAGAGTTCCTTGTAAAACTAGGGACTAAGTATAACATGTATCAGAGAGTTGGTTAATATGCATTAACCATTTCATATCACCTTCTCTGAAACAACAGATGAAATATTGCTGCCTCTAGGAAAAAATATTTCAAGAGAACTATTTTAATTAGAAAAACTATTTATCATTTATTGGACTGCATGCCATTTCGATTTTATGAAAAACTTTCAAGAGAACTTTTCTGTCATCAGTTAGTTGTTTAGCTATTCTGTAATTACCAGTGATTTCTTAGACAAAAGAAAAATTATTCAGTCAACAAGAGTTACACCGTAAAAAGAGCCCCCCAGAAAACTTGCTTTAACTTACAAATCTTCTGAGGATAAAGAAGAATATTACCTGGAGAGAGGAGTCCCCAGATAAGGGCTTCACACCTGTCACAGAGCAACCCATAATCAAGCCATGGCGGCGGACACCACGGTACCATTTTGGACCAATCCTTTTGAGTTTAACATCTTTGAAACCAGCATTTTTGAACCACTCAATGTACTCTTCCTCCTTGGGGAAAAGCATCCACACGTCTGCAAAAAAACGAGACAGCCAAAATGTTGGGTATACAGGGCCTATAAGGCAAGCTTTTCCTCCTATTTTTAGCACCCTGTATGCTTCCTTGATTCCACGTTGTGGGTCTGGCCAGTACTCAATACTGAGGAACAAATCATGAAATTGCATAAGACAAACAGAACCAACAGTGGTGTATAGACTACCCATTTTGTATAGTCTTACAGTCCCATCATTGTGAAAGCTGAAATATGAAAAATCAAGCAAAGCATATGCTTTGTAGTGTGGATACCCTAAAATTTCAACAATCCTGAAAAGTAATACTCGCTTAACTTTTTTTTAAAGATAAGTAACAATGCTCCCTCCCTTCAGATTATAATTAACCGCACAATTAGTATTTAACTTCTTCTCATTCACCACAATGAAAAATCTGAAATAAGGAATAATAAGCTCGGCATAACAGTGAATCTCAGGATAAGATCAAAATTCCAATCGGAGAACACATATCTAATATATTTCTACTTATTAACTTGACACTAATAATCCCACGACTCAAAACCCCACTTGCAATTCCTTTAAATGAAATCACATTACAGAAAGCAGCAGAAGCAGAAATGTTACCTTCCAGCAGAGACATATCGATCTGCATAATCAGTTGGGAATGGCAGATCTTCGGCATCACCTTCAACTATCTTGCATTCTTTCAAGGGCTCCTTCTCCTTAGCCTTAGCCAGCTGGTGAGGTGACTGGTCAAGAATTGTGACATTTTTGGCATCCACATGCTTAACAACACCAAGAGTTGTGAACCCAGTTCCACCACCAACATCTACCACTACCATATTCCGATCATAAAGATCAGCAGGCTCGAGAGCATCGTCCCTCATATCCTCAGTCCAATGCCCAGGGTTTATAACATGATCATACACTATAGATAAGAACCTATAGAACCAAAATGCCTCTTGCTTGTGCTGTATGAACCTAGGCTGAGAGGCCGGCCTTGAGGATGAGACACTGCATATGGGTGCTAAAGTTCTGGTCTTGTAACTCCTCCCATAACTCACTAAACCCTTCTTGGAGAAACCCCCAAAGTGAAATTTTGTCCCATCAGAACCTAACCCTGTTGCTGGTGCTATGCCACCAATGAGTTTGAGATTTTGAGCTCCATAGAGCATTGAAATAGCCATTGTATGATAAAAGGAAGCAAAACCCACAAAACAAAACTGCTAATTTATATTTTTTGCTCACTGATTACTGGAAACTATGAAGCCGGGCAAGCAAGCAGCAACCATGCGGTTTCCTGGTAATTGGTACAATGGAAATTCATATTGAAACTACCATGCGAAAATTGAAAAGGAATGAATGGATTGCAAAATGGAAATGGCTTACCCACGTACAGAGACAAAGGATTATAGGCGGAGAGTGTGCTTGTGTGACTCTGGGTTGAACAAGCACCACATGTCTGCAGCAGCAACAATTGTGAGTCACAGTTTTGCCTATCGCTATCAGGTGAAACGGAACATATCCCGCGTTTTTTGTTTTTTTTTTTTTTTTCGCCGTCCACCAAAACGCACCGTTTCAGGGCCTTAATGAAAATCAAGGCTTCTATTTCATATTGTATTAATTCAAATGGTTTCTGAAAAATTAGATATCCTTTTTTATTGTGTTCAAATCTTTGGTTATCGATAAAGAACTTCGAACTTGTCTTTTTGAATATATATATATATATATATATATATGCAATGAATAGTCTAAATTACTCTAAATTAATCTAATCTAAGGATTGATAAAAATAAAAAATTCTAATCTAAGGAAGGAGGATTTGAAGTTGAGTAAAGGAGCGAGCTCATTGCCCTAACCAACTCGCTTAACCCACTCATCACTGAACTTGTCTTCTTTTCACAAAAGCATGTCAAACTTATGTCTATTTAAGTGGCAGTTAATAAGGAAAAGAATAAGTAATTCTGTTCAGTTTTGCAAACAAACTAAAGCTTAGAAGAAATATTACATGATAGGATAACTACATTCATTATTTAGGTAAGGGGAATCTATAATTACGTATATAGAGAGAGCCTTTTTCAGTTCGCTTCAGACAGATGGTGATTTATGGCCTATCGGATGGCTTTGGAACTTCCCGGAGCTGGACTGAGTTTTCGAAGCAGTGATAGAAACCGAAGTGAGGGAACCTCTCATACCATGTGTCTTGCGGCTCGTGTGTATCCCAGTGCTCACCGCTGCTGCTCTTCCCATACTTGTGAACCCACCCAGAACCATTGTGGCCCTCACCCCATGTCCGATTCCAACGCTCTCCATACTTACCTTCCCACCATGTTTCACCCTGCTTCACACCATGACCGTTTGGATTGAAATGTTCATCCCATTTGTCACCCCATTTCGCCCAACCGTCGCCCTCACAGCGCTCCGCCCATTTGTCAGTGTATTTGTCGCTGCCACCATGTCCATCATACTTTTCACCCCACCTGCAATGGATGCAAAACATGTCAAGTCTTTAGAAGGAAATCAGATTCCAAATTTTACTGATCGTGCAGTTTTATCAGAGGGAAAAGCAGGTTGATTGACACATCAGAAGTTTTACAATTTCTTGAAATCTACTATTATCATGTTTGTAAAATTGTTTGTAAGAGAAATCCTGTAAGTGGCGATTTGATGTGATGGCAGGAATAAATGAGACATCGCTACAGGCATGGCATCAAAAATTTACTCCAATTTAATTGACAAGTTTGGTACCTTTCATGCCAGATATGAGCATGACCAGCCTCAAGGGGTGTATTTGGGTCAATGCTACACCACTTATGAGCCCATTTTTCAGCTTGGCCTGAGGCATCATAATGCTCCCACCATTTCTCTTGCCACTCATCGCCTTTACCGTTCTTTCCCCACTTGTCTGCAGTTTTCTCCATATGCACAAGTCCACGGTTCTGCAACCAAACCAAAGCTTGCTGTTCAGTTTGTTCTTAGATATTTGTAACATCATATATTCATCGGATAGAATTAACATGCCTTAAAATCAAGTGGACAGATGAATTAATTAACTCTAGGAGCGATCTTTAAAAAATTAATAAGTTAACGGCTATGTATCTCTTCCTATGACAATTCTGTTGGTGAAACATAGCAGTCCCTTTTATAGGGGTTTTTCCTCACTTTTATGGAAGAGGAGCCTGCATTTACATCAGATGAGTATAACTTTATAGTTCATTAACCATAAATTTTGGAAAATATAAATCTAAGTAATCATTTAAGCTTTTGAGGAAGCAATTTAGACTTGAATCACTGCATAAACCAGGTAGGGCTTGTTCCTGGCCACAAAATAAAGGCTAAAACCCATCAATATTATGAAACTGAAAAGAAAGTAAGAAAACATAAATTTCAGTTTCAAATAGCGGTGCGGAATAACCTGCCACATAGATTCTGTCCAATATTCACGCCAGACATTTCCAGTTGCATTGCGTCCCAATTTTTCTGAACCAAGCTCCTTGTGGCCAAACTCATCCGCAGCCTCCCAGTACTTATCTTGCCACTCCGTAACTTGGTCGGCACTAACACCTCTGGTCATTGTCCACCTGCAAACTACACCATCAGGCCTTTGCTCTATTCCAGATTCCCTCCACCACCTAGATCCATCTGTATTCACTCCAGATAATGATGCCTCATCCACTGTATCAAGAGCATGAGCTGCTTCTGCTGCATGTGCTGAAAACTCAGCACCAAGTTCATGGTCATCTTTTAAGGAAGTTGCCTCTACACTGGACTCAGAGACGTCCACTTTCCCAACCTCCATCAGGGACTGGAAAGGAGGAAGAGGAGGGTTCCGATTGGTTTCTTCAAGTTTACTCTCTAAGGGAATTGAGAGAAAACCTACAGATGGCTCTTTCTCCAACACTGGATTGCTCGACTGTGCTGAAGGTTTTGGTGCTGGCAGCAATTCACTGACATCATCTGAACTTTTATCACCACCCTGAGGGGGTGCCCAGGACCAAAAATCAGGGCCAGGAGTCCCGGTTCCTGAAATTTCTGATTGAGGAACAATTACACTTCTAACCTGTGTCCCACTTCCTGAGGAACAGTTAACCAACAGTGTAGTATTAGAAACCCCAAAAAGAAAATCATCAATTCCATTAGCGCAAAATTCAGATGTTCATCCACTAATTAGTCAAATGGGAGATCAGCATGTCAATACTTCCCTTTAGTAACTAAAATACTACTCATCATTTGCAGTTTATATCAACCTAAGATCAAATGTCGGCCTATTTCACAAATCCATCCAATCTCCACAACCACAAACAAAAATGGACACTAAATTTATGTAGTTTGTTTCAGATTCAAAAAGCCCTAAACCCATCACCATCCAAAACATATGCATATATGCCCGATCAAACTCATTCTTTTTTTTTTCTCCTTTTTTAAAAATGTGGACTTTATTAAATAAAACACGCATCAACATTACACATTAGCATCAAATTCTACCTCCCGTATCTTCACTGTCCCAAATAAAAATCCAATCAGAAATTGAAATTCCCAAACTCAAAACCAAACACAAAGTCTAAATCCTTACCCTCTTGACGAGGCTCCACTGCTCCCCCGCTACCACCACCTGAACCGGGATCAGTCCTCAAACTCTTATTTTTGTCCTCCAAAATGGCGCGAGCCGCGGCGATCGCCGCCGCAGCCCTATCGACAACCTGCATTCGCTGAACCCGATCCCTCTCTTCCTTGGAAACCCCCAGAATCTTCTCAAACTCCTCACTCTTCTTCTCCAAATCCTCAACAGGCTCAACACTCTGATCATGATCAGCATCGATCTTACTCGATTTCTCGACGATCCTTTCGAACTCGACGGTCTTCTTGTCGTTCTCCACGGCCTTCTTCCACATGCTGAGGTACGAGTCCCCGCCATCGGAAACCCTAATCCGCAGACTTCCCCTGCCCGTGATCTTCGTTCTCCCAAACGGTGCCGTTCGCTTCTGCTCTAGCAGTAGAATGAGTGGGTGTTTGTGTTTGAGTAAATAGAAGTGGGACCCGCGAGGGGTACAGGCGCCGAGCCGAGACGCCATGTTGGTGGAGAAGTGAGGAAGGAGACTGAGTAACACTGAGTGGAGAAGAGAGAAGTGGAAAATGTAAATGGATATTTCAATTTGTATTTTATTTATTTTTTGCTTTTCGGAAAGGAGGGAACAGAGTTTCCGTGGAGTTGGAGTAAGGTATGGGATGCGGTTGTAACGGCTTTACCTGTTTTTTATAATTTTTTATTGATGGGTATGTGGACACCTGGAGGGAATGAGAGAGAGATGGAAGGTGCGAGACGGAAAAGGATCCGCCAGGCGTTGGATTCAAAACCCGGAGGTCTCGGAGCGTCTACCGACATGGACAATGAGACGGAGGAGATCACGTGCTGCCTGTCAAATCTTTTTTTTTGGACGAAATGCCTGTCAAATCTTAGCCAACCCCAAAACAAGGGAAAGCCAAGCGAAAATTTTTCCAACGGATGAAAATAAAAGGATGGCTTTTTTCTTTTTCTTTTTTTGTAAATGGTCTATAAGGTTTGCGAAATTATGATGAATTGTCGAGGTAAAATGTAAGTGGAACCCATATGTTCGACGGCATTGTGCCATGTGGATTATAAAAAAATATATACATTAAAAATTGAAAATCCATAGAAAAAACATTTTCATATATTTTAAAGTAACTCCACCTCCCTTCATTATAAGAAAACATGTTTTATGTGAAGATGGGTAGTCGTCACTGAAACATGTAAATTTGTCACAATTGACCATATGTGACGCATTTTTGACGTCACAAGGGTCGTCACCTATACCCCATCACAAATTGTTTGACGTGACGACTTTGTGACTCGTCACATATTGGTTCTATATGTGACGAATGTTTCATCACATATAGAGCCTTCGCGCGAGGTATCTCTCATCACTTATTGTATCGATTGGTGACAAGTCTCGTTGGTCACATTTCATAAGGATTCGTGAGGAGTTGTTTCTCACATATTTATGAAAATTGTGACACTGTATGTCTCACATATAATCCGACCAACATTCAATTCAATTCAACTCAATTACCACTTGTATGTCTCATATATATATATATATATATATATTATTTTCTTGTATAATATAGCAAAATAACATATTCAAGATCCCAAAGTTTCACAAGTAAATTGAACTCAAATTTCATTCCATTACATCAAAATAATTACATTGTTTGATATACAATCTGTATACTCATTTCTATACATTGTTTGAACTCAAATCTCACTTCAGAGATGCCAAATCAGTATACTCATTTGTAACAGCAAAAATATCCACGCAAACACCTGCTTGAACAGCGACTGCAGCCTGTAAATTGTCAAAGCTTACATGGATTGTAGTAGCCTAAACAAACAATTTGACCTTAAATGTCATCTAAATCCCTAGATTTGGAACCACACCATCCAAATGGATCCTTAGTTTTGGTGACAAATGTATTCACGAGATTAAGCTTCAAATTCTATATCCTAAAGCATAACCCTAACTAAACCCACTCATAAACCATTAGGAGAAATTTCTCATCTGACACAACAAATAAAAGAGTTGGACACAAGAAATCGAACACTGACTCTCATTGTCATCAACAATGGACGAGAAATCTTTCAGCTTTACACATTATCATCTTATTTCTTCTAAAGTACTACTGATTGTAATATAAAAAACAAACCAACATAAAAGACAGTTATACCAACTTATCACTTTCTCAGGGGCAACATTATTTGAAAGGTTATATACATAATTTAACTCATTTAAATAGAAGAAAGAGCATACCGATTTGGCATTGAATAATACCTGTTCAAAGCTAAAACTTTCAATTCCACAATTGTGTAAAAAATTAGGCCCTAATCACAGTACAAGGGGTTCCTAAGGCCACCAATGTAAATTCAAAGACGACATTAAGATTGATTACACCAGCTAAAGCATTGAATATACGACAACATTATGAGATATCAAATTGAATACTTAGCATATATAAACCAAAATCGATTACACCATTGTCATTGACTATGCAAACCTAGGGCCACAAAATAAGTATATAAAAAAATTTCCCAGATTCCTAAAATAGCAAAATTAAAAAAATACTAATGCCAGAACTTCTAATGTGCCTAGATTTGTTACTATGAAGCCCTCTCAACAACCAAAGATACAAGTATTGTCTATGACAATTTTTTATTTAAATTTTACTAAGAATGAGTATTTGTACTAGAGCAGAATTGGTCTTGCTAGAAATTCCTATGGATTATAATCTTTCTTGGTTCTTAGATTCTTTTATACTTGAGAAAAAAATGCAAGAAATTGAGAAAACCCAATTTGCATGTTCTGGTTGACAAGTAAACAGGAGCATATAAGAAACTTTCTTCACCAATAAAGTTGGATTTTAATCACAAGCAGTGGTGAAGCAAGGATTTCACATTAGAGGGGGCCCTTCATAAACTTTGTCTTCTCTTCATAATTATCATGAATTTCATATTTTAAATTGGTTAAATACTAATATCATCATCTACACTATTAAAGACTTCAAATTTGATCATTTATATTCCAAAAGAGAAAAGAAATAGAAAAACAAAAACAAAAAAGAGTTCATAAAATGCAAGATTAAGGTACTCAACTCATACATTAAAAAAAAAATGAGGAAAATAAAAAATTTATAAAGCTTTAAACAAAAGAGGAAGAGAAAAAAAAGTTAAAACTTTAGGAGTTTTTAGTGCAAATATCATAAACTAACCTAGAAGATTTAAGAGAGATGAGTAAAAGAGAGAAAAGAAATTTTATGGTTAATTTGTAAACAAAAAGAACCTAATATATTATTTTATTGTGAAATAAATATGCTAAAACTAATATAATATATTATAATATTATATCATATATAATATACAAATAAATAAATAAATAATTGGAGTGGGGGCTTGGGACCACACTAGTCCCATGCTGGCTCCGCCACTAATCACAAGCAGTAATTCCTATCAATAATCAACATATCATTCTCGCCATAGCAAAGACTTGCAGATACACATATATGAGGGAAAGCAGAACCTCAATAACTTTGACCATTCACCAAATCTGTTTTGACAGACTTTGCTGGATCCTAGCAAGAACTTGTTGCCGTATGAAACTAATAGTGTTATTACCATAGACTGGAACATTACAGCCATTAATCAACATGACAGTAAACTAGCTGTGTTATTACCCTAGACTGGAACATTACAGCCATTAATCAACATGACAGTAAACTAGCAATGTTATTACCCTAGACTGAAACATTACATGAGTAGATATGCATTAGAAATAAGATGTCATAGGAAATTAGCAGTGTTATTACTCTAAACTAGAACATTACAGGTTTGGGTTGGTTCGGTTTTGGTCTGAACTCGAAGTCGAACCGACGGCTTCGGCTAAGCTATTTTTGAAACCGTACACCGAACCATAACCAGTGAAACTGACCATTCCGGTTAACCGGAGTTTGTGGTTTGGTTTGGTTCGGTTTCGGGTTTAGGCTGAAGAGAGAGAGAGAGAGAGCAAGAAGAAAGCTAGGGAAAAAATCAATAGAGGGAGAGATTGAGATAGGGGAGAAAGGAAGAAGAAGGAAAAAAAAAATAGGAAAAGAAGAAGACAGACAGCATGAGGAAGAAGGAGAAGAAGGAAGAGGAGAGAGAGCGATGGAAAACAATAGAAAGAAGAGAGAGCATGGAAAAGAAAAAAAAAAAAAAAAAAAAAAGAGAATAAGTAAGAAGGAGGAAGAAAAAGAAAGAAAGATAGAGAGAAGAAGGAAAAAGAAATAAAAAAAGGAGAGAAGAGATAGAGAGATGGACAGTGACGGAAAGAGTAAGAAGAAGATGGGAAAACAATAAAAAAAATGAAGAGGTTGGCACTGGCGGATCCAGAAATTTTTTAGCGGAGGTGCAATATTGACTAAGTATGAAAATGGTTTTTCGGAATAATCATTTTCTCAAGATAATTTTTGGCGGCTTTTATTCCTTATACATCAAATAAGAAAACTTGATTTTATGGGATTTTAGTATGAAGTATATATTGACTTAATGAGCTATCATTTTTAGCCTAAATCGTATTTTGCACTAAAACCGAATTTTCATATTTTTATTTGGTGGGAATTTGATTTTCTAGTATTTTTATTTGAATCCAAATGGGGGGTACTTCCTTATTTACATTGTAAACTTAAGTAAATGGAGTAATATAAAAATAAATAAAAGTAAAAAGACAAAGACATTTACTTAAATGTTGAAAATGGAAATAAGGTTATCTGTACACCAGTTGAGCAAAGGGGCAATTTGAAGCATCTACAATGGTTTTTCCGGCGAAGGGAGGTGCAGCTGCACCTCCTTGCGCCTTAATAGATCCGCCCGTGGAGGTTGGGAAAGATGAGATATTGGGAAAAGAAAAAGAATAAAAAAATACAAAAGAAAAAAAAACAACATTGGTTTCGGCGTAGATGCAGCAGTGCATGCATCAGGTCATGTCCACTTGCATGCTCTCACATTTTGTTTATAATATTTATTATTCTGAGTAACTAAGTATATATTATATTTATGTAAAGATTACACAAGAAGGTTGTTTGCTCCAGTGGCAAGCAAGAACGATTTTTACATGGAGTTTTGTGGGCTTCGAACCCCTTTGTTGCAAAATATTTTTGTAATATTTGGCTTGCCAACAGTAACGGTCCGGTTTGGATAAACCGGTTCATTTAAAATATCAAACGTAAACCGAACCAGACTGACCGGTTCGATCTGGTTTGAACCCGATATTAAATAATTAATAAATAAATAATTGGACCAAAATAACTCGATCGGTTTGGTTCGGCCGATTTTTTAAGTTGGCGGTTTAATTGCCCAGCCCTAATTACAACTATTAATCAACATGACAGTAAATTAGCAATTTTATTACTATATACTGGAACATTACAGCCATTAAGCAACATGACAATAAATGTGTGAAACATTATAATCATTAATCAACATGACACGTTAATGAAGCTACGATTTTCAAGGCATTTTGTTTGAAATGAATTGTTAGAGTTTTTTTATAAAATTAAGTTGGGCTTGTTTTGGGTGCTATTTAAATTTTTTTGTATTGAGCTTCTTTTAATTTGATCAATATCAGTCACGTAATTTATAGGAACTTCAACACCAATTTCTTATGTAATAAATGAATTTTTGGTGTGTTTCTAAAGTGCATTCCATGTGGAGTTTTTTTTTATAATTTCAGCCCCTATTTTGGGTATATTAGTGAAGCTCCCTTTAATTTAATACACCCAACACAAATATATATATATATATATATATATATTAAAAATTAGAAAAGTTGTTGTAACATAAAAACAAGTAAATTGGTTCTCTATACATCCATTCTACTAGTCTATTCTATGATCGACCACTGATCTTTTCTTTTTCTTTTTCTTTTTTTTTCTTTTTTTTTCCTTGATCAATAATAAATAAGATCAGAAACTTCATCTACACAATGTGTCAAAAAGAGATATCTACACAACAATTGGCCCACCCGGGCCAGTTGGGGGTGGCGGGGGAGCTGGTGGCGGAATAATCTCGGGCCCCGGCGGGGGAGGAGGCACAATATCAGGTGGTTGCGGCGGCACTACGTCGGGTTTTGGAAGCGGGTTATCAGGAAACGGTGGTGGGATATCGGGCACAGGAGGCGGTTTCAAGGGAGGTACTGGAAAATCCGGGCCCGGGTTCAGATCCGGGTCAAGCGGTGGAGGGTATGGATTCACTTCAGGAGGAGGAACAGGAGTGGGGTCCACATCCGGAGAGGTGGAAATCCCAGGCAACTCAGGAGGAGCAGAAGGCTGGTCATAGCGGCCTGGAACTGGGGGAGAAAACTCTGGTGGGCTCGTGGTCGGGTACTGGTCGGGCGGGTCGGGTAGGGCACGGGCTAGAATATGATATGCAAGGGGGCATATGGGCTTTCTTTTGGGTGACAGAAATTGACTGCTTGTTGCAGAAGTAGTAGAGGTGGTGGATGAACAAAATGGGATTGTTCGTCTGATGAGAGTTGATGAGAATGAAGAGATGGATGAGGACGACATTATTATTATGTTTTGTTCGAAAACAAGATTGAGAAATTTTGTTTAGGCTCTGTCCGAGTCTGAGAGATGAATGATGGAAGAGAAAGTTTATGTATTGACGTAGATTGAGGTTTCGGTATTGCATGTGGGTGACACATGTATGCAGGTGGCAGAGGGGGTCGACACCTGTGCGTGCCGATGAGAAATGGTTTTGAATAGTCAGGTTTATTTTGGATTGACACGTACGTAGTGGTGGTATAGGGCGAGCTGGTCTTGCTCGATTTCATTAGCCGTTTGTACACATCACAACGTAGCAAAGAGGAGACTGAACCAGAAATAGGTAACTTGTCCAAAACTTGCCTACTTATTCAAAGTGGAACTTAGAATTTTCAAAAATACAACGAATAAGTACAAAATTCCAAATTTATGAACATTGTACCCTAATTATTGCAAATGCGTTTTCGTGACCTAATTCACTGAAAATCTTGCAAAACCTAGGCAATCGACTCTTACCATTAACAAAGGGAGAAAAAATGGAAGCCTTTGTCTTTTGATTTGCTAAGAAACTTTGCTTGGAAACAAAGAGTTTGAATTTAGCATTAGCTTTCCATGTTCTTTCATTCAAGTATTACATTTGATTTGAAATTTAACCTAAGAGCCAAATTTAGTGAGACTGTGGTTTATTCAAATCCAAGGGCCCATATCACCCCAACCTCTCCATTGGGGCACAAAATCAAGATCAACCATTGGAGGTGTGGAATAGGGATTCCAAGCCTTTGTATTTAGAGCCTTCGTATTTATCCGCATTTTGCTTAATCTGAGCCATTATAATAATCCAACAACTCAAAACAAGACACCTAAGCTAATAAAGAGAGATGTTTTACCGTTAAGTGAATTTAGGAATTAAAGTATCTAGCGAAGCCGATAACCGCGTCAAGCGGCTATTACACTACTAGTCGACGCTCTTGAGGATGAACCAATTACTTGCAACGCTCGTTTTTGTAAATTTCCATTCTATAGTTTATCATTTCATCCCTGAATTCAAATATAGAGTGCAGCTTCTTTTCATGAATTTTGACTGAATTCCAAATGACAATCAATTGAGGGGTAGTGGCTGTAATCATTGGGTATTTTCATGAAAATTGAAAGTTATCAATTGGAGAAATATTGATAAGTTGCTAAAGAAAATGATGGGTTTTGGCTGAAACAGTCGCTGAATAGCTTTGTGCCAAAGACAAATGATATAGATTAGATAGGAGCTTATGGAAAGAGAGACACAGAGAGGTAACGGAAACACGTTACCGTTAAATTTGTAAATAAAACAAAAAAGTTATACTAGCTGACTCGGCCCATTCAAGGTCATTGAATTATTTGGGCGCAATGCATGTAAATGCAGAGGCTCTAAATGCAGAGACTCTGGATTTGGATTTGTAGAATAGTTCTTTTCCCGACCAGGAGAGACGCGAGTGACAGACAGTGAAAGAGATGTTTTACTGTTACCTGGCAGTTACGAGGATTTGGCCCAATGTGAACACGTGGCCGTCGCAAAAAAGAAAGGAATCACAACTGGGTAAAATCATGAAATGACAGTAGACCCGCGCTGCTCTTAAGAAACAGTAAACGCGCTTGTCACTTACAAAGACAACGACGTGCCACAAACTCACAGGTCAAGTTGATATATATATTTTGATTTCTCTACGCATGTTAAATGATACTAGAAATCTAATCATTTTGCCAAGAATAAAAATGTTCTCTATGCTTGACATGCCAAAACTAGCATCTAATCTCTCTCACAATAACTTTCGGTGTTTTCTATGTGATATGATGTATATAAATGAGCAAAGCCATTGCCATAAATCAAGAGGTGTTTCTACCCAAATCATTAGTTGAGGGCAACTATTCTTCTATCCCTGCCACTTGATTAGCTTATGAAAAGACTTCATTAGGCCCCTCTTGGACATGGTAGCAGCAAAGAAAGTATCATTCCAATCTTCAACTATAACCCCAATCCCTAATCCCTCCACAATTACTGTTATGTAAGGAAAGACTTCATTATGATCTTTGGAATCGAATACACACATTCAATTATTGAGAAAGATAAGGATGAAACTTTAATGATGTACAATTTTTAAAATTTAATGCGCATGAAAAACAAAAGGTTAGGTAAATGGTGTAAAAACATCTCCGATAGAATTGTTATACCCTATTTTACCAATTTTGGTGACAAGAAGGGAAAACCACAACTCCACCAAGTTCGCTAGTTGGTTCTCCAATTTGGAAAACACACCTTTGGAATCTGGTGGCTCACTACATCTAACAAGAAGGAGAGAGAAATTGAAGCCTTGCATTCTTCTTGCAACAGTCAAAAATTTAAATTAAAAAATTCAAAGTCTTCTTCATCTTCTCTTTGTCAGCTCTCTCTCTCTCTCACTATGTCTCTGTTTCTCTCCCTCTATTATGAACTAGGATAATCAAATGTTTAAATTTTTAGAAATAATAAAATATTCGAGATTAGCCAAAATAGAGAACATTTGTGCAGAAATCACTTTTTAAGTAGTTTGCTATAATGGTTTTTTGTTTATTTTAGCTAAAATTTAGAGACTCTCCTGGAGATGCTCTAAGATAACTAGTATAACGTTCATGTCAACTGATGTTATAAGTTTTTTATTTTATTTTTTTCACACAATTGTCACGCATCCATCACTTACCTACTTGGCACAGAACAAGATCCAGCTAAGGTAAGTGTTGTTTATTTGACAAGAATATCACATGGAATGTTTATATACACTTATTATAATTAAGATTAACTCATTATATTACATTCACATGTCACATGATGCTATGTCGTGACGCAAAATTTCTTGTCAGTGACAATACCCTACCACACCAGCCTAGCTAATCATTTTACAAGTTACGGACTTCCTCTTCAGCCCTTCTACTTTGTATAGTACTAAAAGACCTGAGCTGAATTTTGTCCTGTCTGAGCCCATGGTACCATGCGCAGTGCGCTTCCACAATCTTTCGGGGTGCAAAGTGTGACGATGAATCATCGCATGGGGCTCTACAAAGTAGGAATCTTGATAGACTCTTCGGTCTCCGGAGAGAGAGAGAGACAAAAAAGACACAGAAAATTAGAAAACAGAAAAGAAAACCAGCTTTCACAAACACTCCACTACCAAACAAACCAAACAAACACAAAGAAGAAAGTTTCTTCCTTTCTCCTGCCATTCCCTTTAAAAAGGTTCTTAAAACAGCCAAACCCAAAAACCCAACACACAAAAACACTCTCTCTGTTATAGATCCGCTCCTTTGCAAAAGGGCTTTGCGTTTTTAGTGTGAAATTCATTGTGGGGTCCATGAAGATTTCTGGGTCGTCCTTAAGTTTCAGTCCAATGGCCTGGCGGCGATGATCAATTTGTTTCTTTGTGAAGAAAGTTGGTTTTGCAACTGAGTATTAGTTGTGAAGTTTAGTCCTTTGGTGCTTTCTGTGATAAGATGCAATCGGATGGGTCAGAATCATTGAGCCCAACAACCCAAAGGCTACAGTCTTTGTCAGCCGCTGATACCAGAGGGAAGCATAGGATACAGGCCGAGTTGAAACGGCTCGAGCAAGAAGCTAGATTCTTAGAGGTCAGTGATGCTTTTACTTTGATTCTGATGCTGGGAATTTTGTCCTTTTGATGTTGTTGCTGTTGCATTCTATGTTGAATTTTGATTGTTTTATATCTCATTTCCGGTTTTGATTGGATGCATGTGTCAATCAGACAGTGAAATTTCCAATTTCAATTTTGAATTCAATTAGCTGCTGGCTTTGTACGGTCACCGAATTTTCTGTTTGAAAATCTACATTTGGAATTTATTAGAAAATTTAGCTGAGCGGTGAATGTGTTGAACTGGGTGCAGAGTTTGAAATGGTTTGGTTTAGTTGTTTGCTAGATTATGGTCCTGTTTTATTGATCGGTGGGTTTGGTTTCCTAGTTGTATAGTGTAATGTGAGAGTTTGGGAAGTTCTATGCTGCCCCTTTTGAGTGTGACCGTCCGAGCTTTGCCTATTGCGGCCATGTGACCATCTTATTCACTGTTAGATAAAATTTATTAGGGTGGTTGTTTTATTAAAAGTTGGCGTCCTTATGTGGAAATGGATTTTTATGAATTGAACTTCGGTGATTTGCTTTGCAATTGCAACCATGTCCTTTTCAGACTTCTAGAGTTTTTGGAGTTATTAGTCATTTAGTTAGTTCAGGTCCAGTTATTATGTAGCTTTGTGCTTAGGCGTAATTTGATTGCCTTCTCGGTTGTTATAGTTTATTGTGCAGAAGGACAAACTGGTTTGCAGAAGATAGATAATAATGGAAGTAGACGGGTCCAGGACATTTTGGTGTTTAGTTGTCTTGCTTTGAGTGGGTGCATGTTTCCTGCGAGACAACTGATTGGTTTTGTTGTTGGTGAAAGCAGGATGGTTTTTACTGCTGCTATGTAGGAAAGTTGTTTTAATCACTCATTTTTAGCTTATGAGAAGTGAGTCATTGAGTTTACACATTATACAGTGACATACTTTCCCCACTCCTTTAGCCTGTGTCTGTATACATATTTCAGGCTTGGTTAGTGTTCTTGATGATTGTCATATGGTCAAATGCCGTGCAAGGCCTGTGAACTTTTTGTCTTTAAGCTGTTCCTTGAAGACAAAACTTCATTAGGTTGAAAAGATGACATGGGGTGTTGCTGAAGAAAGTGCAAGAATAAGGTTCAAATATATGCTGTATTGTAAAAATGCATGACCTATCAAATTGTTGATAACTGAAACTTAAGAAAAAAAACTAAAAAGAAATGAGCTCAAATTGCAGAATATTCAGTTGAATCAAGCAATATCTACAAGTTACTTGAGGGTGTATTAACAACAGGAGTTGTGTAATGGTTAAAGTTGATCACAGTTACCCGGAGTCAATGTATGTTGACCCCTAAGCTTTTACTTGTCAGCTGTAGAATTTCATAAAGGCTCTTAAATTTGTTGCTGGGTGGTTGGAAAGATGACTTCTCTTATGCCGAGTAGAAAATTATGAATTTGTTACATTTATGTTGGGGTTTTTTAACCTCTCGAGACTTTAACTGTTAAAGCACCCTCAACTTCCCGACCTAGGAGCAACCAGATATATGGGTGTGATCAGTCATGTGGACTGGAGTTAAAAGCTGTTATCCTTTTGGCACTATACAACATTATTTTTCTCAGCAAAACCTTCATTGAATCAATTTCCTGAACCTACTTAGTTAAGCAATAGTATGCTGATTCACTCTTGACCCCTGTAGAAGTAGTGTAATGAAGAATGCAAAATGCTCCCACCACCCCTTTTCAAAAAAATCTGAGGAAAATTTATCCTTCTGTAAAATTATATAAGACAACAAACTATGAAGTAACCAGTTCTTTCTTTAGCTCTTCCTAGGAATTAATTTCACCAACATACCATATTAGAATCTTTCAGATTACATTAAATTCGTTTCCAGTTTTAAAACCACAACTGAGTGACTACTTTTGAAGTAAGATATAGAATAAGACCGAAAAAATAGGAAGTGAAGTACATTGAAACTTTCCATCAACTGCATTTAGCTCGATCAATGCCATATTCCTTCACAAGACTCACGTTCTTTTAAGAATTGCAACTCCATATCCTCTTCCACCAAAGAGGTAGGGCACCTTGAAGAGAGTGAGGTGTAGACTGCCTTTCTCGGGGGAATTGGGGAAAGTTGGATGTCAATGTCATTGAACTGTGTAGTGTAACCTTCTCTTGTTATGATAAGTAGCATGCCCTTGTGCGTCATTTTGTTAACATTTTCCCTTTTGGAAGTAATTGGCTTCTCGAGTCTTTCTGTAATACATCTTAACTAAAACCCATGATGCACATGGTCAAGCATCTAGTGGCATGTTTCAGCTTCCCATGATCCTGAATTTTTATGGCCAAACATCTTGGAACATTATTCACATTTGGATTGATTAGGAGTTGGAGTTTTTGAGTATGTTCATTGCTTTAATTGCTTTCCTCCCTTTTTGGCGGGAAGGAGTTTCCATGAACTAGTTGTGTGATTTGGTATCCATAAGGCACCTGAAAAGTGACTCACTGGCATGTTGTGTGTGTGTGTGTGTGTGGGTTGAATAACCCAGAATTTAATAGGATGGTCGTTTGACATTTCATGTATGTCATTATTTATCAGCATGACTTGAGTATTCAGACTGCTAATGGATTTATTCTTTTATGTTGTTTCCACAGGAAGAGTTGGAACAACTGGAAAAGATGGACAAGGCCTCAGCTGCATGCAAGGAGTAAGCATGATATATCCTTAAATTGTTTGAGTTTTATCTAGAACGCTTGTTTTTCCCATGATCAATTTGTTAACCGACTTTTGTTTTGTACTTCAGAATACTGAACAATGCAGAAACAAGGCCTGATCCATTACTCCCAGTGTAACACCTCTATTTCTAGTTCTTTGTTTCATTTTCTAAATTCGCAGCCCTTTTCTTATTGTAATTTACTCTTGATTAACAGAACACATGGCCCTCTTAATCCATTCTGGGATCGATGGTTTGAAGGCCCCAAAGATCCAAAAGGTTGCAGATGCTGGATACTGTGATGATCATTGCTCAGTTCCAGGCTTCCATTATCATTTGTTCACAGAGGCTACAATTCAGACGTATCACAGATTTCGATTGTTGCTGTTATTCAGGAATGTTTTACTAGATGCTTCATTGTGCAGATGACAATTTATGGCAACGCTTCCATTCGTGTGCCTTTAATTTAGGGCAGTTGTGCAGAGTGTAGTAAGTTTTCAATTAAATGCTTCAGTGTTTTGGCAGAGCATAAACAATTTTCCAGGCATATCATATTGTTTAACGAAATGCTTAATGATTCAAAATGTAAAATATTTCAAGCATTTGAAATTGGAAACAATCTACAAATTTGCTCAGAGCAAATAACATTGATGATACACAACTGACACTTTTACATCACCCATCCTTGAAACCCCAAATATGTGAAAAATCTCTTTTCTCTGTCTCTCTCTCTATCTTCAACTGGGTGCTTTTCCTGTAACCCGCTGGGCAATCCAACCTAGACCATCATACAGGCCATCTCCTGTGAGGGCACAACAGGCTTGGATGTGCCAGTCATGATTCTTAATGCTGTGAAGAGAAAGGGTGTCAGTGATCTCGGCTGGGGTCATGGCATCCTTGAGGTCTTGTTTATTTGCAAAAACCAGTACAACGGAATTTTGAAGATCCTCATGTGCCAGCAACCTGAAGAGTTCATCTTTCATAATAGAAATCCTGGCCCTATCCGTACTGTCTATTACTGCAATGATAGCATGAGTTCCACGGTAATATGTTGCCCATGAAGTCCTTAGTCTATCTTGTCCGCCAAGATCCCATACCTGTCATGATTGGCATAATCTTTAGCTCTTATCATCTAACAATAAATAACTCTAAGCATGACATAATGCCTTCAAGGGCAGAAAATGAAATGAAAGAAACATGGAAAAGAATATTGTGAGCATGTTAAGGTATAGAGAGGTATAGAGAGGCCTTATAAATGCAGTAGCTAAAAATATTCAATGAGTTCAAATGACAGACTCATAGCCAGACCAACGAGGTCAACATACACAAAGCCGGGCAGGTATCTTGTAAACATTCAACTTCATTTCTACACTTCTGACCATCATCAGCATTAAAGTCACAGTTATCATGCTCAGTTGGCAAGTAACGTTACAGCCGTGTCAAGTCAACAAATACTTCATATTGTTCCTTGGTATGCTAATGCAGTAAAGTTCATTGATATATGGGGAATCACAATGTGGTTTGCCCTAGCCAAAAGCTTATCCTCCAGACATAACAAAATCATTATCCATGCCATTTTCTATGTACAAACAATGATATATATACATGGCTCTAATAAGTAGCAATAAAGATGAGAACCTTCCAATTAAAAGTTACATTTACAACCAACTATATGTTCTCTTCCATCTATCTCTCATTATGCCAAACCTCCAAATATACTATGAATATTAGTTTCTTCAGTCTTATGTAAATTCATGATACTAATTAATACATGATTCTATTGTACGAGGCCAAGAATATGTTAACTTCAAACTTAATAGAACTTTATCATCCTTCCACATACACGTGCAATTCATACAAATTAGAAATGCATACACACGCAAACACACATACTCAAAAGAATGTTCAAGCACCTGAAGCATGGTAGGTAAGATTTTGTGCAAGGACAAAAGACTCATGCTGATGTGAGTCTCCCAATATAGAATTAATTTTGTGTAAGGACCAAAGCAACAACTTTACCCAATGATTTCATCCCCTCAATGCTCACAATGATAATTATTTAACTAAAGAATTCATGGGAATGCGTTTGCTGGGTGTGGGATTAATAACTACGTCAGGATTAAGAGGCATTGCCATGGAAAAGATTCTCAATAGCTGTGAGGGAATTGCAGGTGAAGGACGGAGAGTAACCTCAAGATCATTGCTACAGAGGATGACAGAAACGGCCAGCAAGGTATTTTGGATGGCAAGATAAATAGAGGGAAATAAAATCCTTTGTTTAGTACTAAGAAACCAAAGAAAATGAGAAAGATGATTTCTTTAAAGACCACTATACCTACAGACTGCATAGCTCTTTATGAAGAAAAAAAAATTATGTGAGAAAATCAAGTCCAATTGCCAAATATACAGAATTAGAAAATCCCGCAAATGGGTTATCAGAAACCAACTAAAATCCAACAAACAATAGTGACAAGAAATGTCCTAACTTGATCAAGAAACTCATCCATCCTAAAGTGGATTATCATCCAGTAACCAAAATAACAAAAGCAGAAAATAGAAGAGGGAGAGATGGGATTTGGTTATGGTACCTCAAAGCGAATGTTCTTGTATACAAGCTCTTCGACGTTGCTGCCTACAGTTGGGTTCGTTGTGACAACCTCTCCCAAGTGTAATTTGTAAAGGGTAGTGGTCTTCCCAGCATTATCCAACCCAACTACCACTATCTTATACTCTTTTGCAGGGAACAACATGAACCAAAACTTCGAAATGAATGCCCCCATCTTCTATCCCCAAACCAAAAATCCAAACTTTACCTACAAGACCCAAAATTCATAAGAAAGCAATATTACCCAATAAATTTGAAATCAAATAGAACCCAACCCATAATATAAATAAAATACCTGCATACATCATAAACATACGTGACGGTAGATAAATAAATTAAATCAAGATCCAAATAATAATAATCAAGAATCAACTAATTCACGTGGGTTCGATCCGAAATTAGCAGATCGAAGAAGTAAAATTTTCAAGAACTAAAAAAGGGGGAAAGGAAATTGATCGAACCTGGACTTGGATATTGGCGGAAGGGTCAGAGATGGAGGGTGCGGTCGATCGGGATGGGAGATTTTCCGATGGTTCGGGACGCAGAGGTTTGGAACCAGGAGAAACCCCAAAAGTAAATTTGGGTTTGGATTTAGAAACCAAGTTTTGGGGTTTCAGAAATTCTTAGGCTGCGTCGCTGCGAATCCGATCTGTAAGGGAAAGCTTTGGTTTTGTTGTGTGAAGGTGATAAAGGAAGCGCCTTTGTATTTGTGTATTTTATTGTAATGGGTTGTTAATATTAGTCGTTGAAGAAGTACCCACCAAAAATATTTATTCGTTCAAGTGGTGTCGGAGGCCACTGCCTATTTGGGACTTGACGTCTCTCTTTACGTCCCTTTCTTTACGTCTATCCCTTTCTCTATCTTGCCCAAAATGAAAGAGGAGTAGGAAACAAATCAAAAGTGAAAGAAAGACGAGGAATATCCAATTGTGTTAAGATGCCGTTCAACGGCAAAATTAGAATTACATTCTCTTATGTTTATTGTTTCAAAAATGTTTTTGCAAATTTTCTTGACCAAAATGAAAAGATGTAGCTAAATTAAAAGGGCCTATGAGAAACACCAAGGCCCAAACCAAACTAACACTTCCTATTCACACTAGTGCTGGGTAGGTCTATTTATTTTGAATGAAGTCATCAATTGAGAAAGTCAAGATTTAGGAAGAGAAATAATGGATATGTACTTGGCTATCTTCAAAGAAATAAGAAACTGCTCCTCTTTTTTAAGCATCCTAATTTTACTCTTTTTTTGGGGGAAGATTATATGATTTTAATATTACTTTGACATAATTACTAAATTAATTAACTAACTCTTAATCAAATAATTATTCTCTCTTAAAACAATTGGAATAACTCGGAAATCAGAATTCATGTTCATAGACTAGCTCGTTTTGCTATAATTTAACTGATGCATCTAATGTAGGGATTATGAGGATTCTTCCGATATCATTGCGGATGTCTAATGTAAATGTTTATCTATCAATAAATATCGCTTTTTCTCAGAAAAGAGAAAAAAAACTTACCAATTTAACTTGAAAATCACCAAATACTTGCCAATCTAGTCTTCTTGTATTGAAGACTCTCCAGTCCCAACTGTACAACAATAATCAACACAGGCAGGTGGCAAACATCACCAAATTCCACCGCTCACCCTCAGCCACGTCACCCAACTACACACAAACCGAAAACGACACCGCATCCCCTGCTCTTTTCATTCTCGGCCGTTTTTGCCCCCCTCATTGCTGCTCACTTTGGAAACACCTCCAAAGCTCTCTCTCTCTCTCTCTCTCTCTCTCTCTCTCTCTCTCCCCTCTTCGGCAACTCCGCCCACCTCTCTTTTAAATCCCCCAACCTTCTCACTCTCTGACCGTACATCTCCGGTCACCGCCAATCACAATGTCACAGTCTGTGCATCTCCTCACCCCATCGAACCTCGCCGTCCCCAAACACAACACCTCCTTCCTTTCGCCCTTCAATCGCCGGTTACCGGTCACCACCACCACCGCCACAACCGCCGTCCCCGTCTTCCCGAAGCTTTCGATCAGAGCCGCCTCATCCGATCGCGAGCCTTCCGTTATCGTCACCGACAACGGCACTTCCTCGTTGGGGCTCCAACCCCCTGCTTCGCAGCCCGACCATGCTCTCTCCAGCTCCATCGAGGTCGACGCTGTCACCGAAGCCGAGCTCAGAGAGAACGGATTCCGTAGCACAAGGCGCACCAAGCTCATCTGCACCATCGGCCCAGCCACCTCCGGCTTCGAACAGCTCGAGTCGCTCGCTGTTGGCGGCATGAACGTCGCTCGCATCAACATGTGCCACGGCACTCGCGAATGGCACCGCGAGGTCATACAACGCGTCAGGAAGCTCAACGAGGAGAAGGGGTACGCCGTCGCCATCATGATGGACACCGAAGGCAGCGAGATTCACATGGGCGATTTCGGTGGCGCCTCTTCTGCAAAAGCAGAGGTTCGTTTGGTTTCTGCGGCATTTTCTCAAACAATTTGTGTGCATGTTTTGATGCTGAATACTGACAACTGGTTAGCTTGATTACGTTATGTGCAGGATGATGAGATATGGACTTTTAGTGTCAGAGCTTTCGGCTACACTCTCCCCGAACGCACCATCAATGTGAATTATGATGGTTTTGCTGAAGGTAATTAAATTAAACTTACCAAATTACCAATTTGTATTCAAAATTTCAAGCTTTTTCCTTTTCTTGATTGAAATGGTGAAACTTGATGTGATATTATGCTGGCAGATGTGAAAGTGGGGGATGAACTGCTTGTGGATGGTGGCATGGTGAGGTTTGAGGTGGTTGAGAAGCTTGGTCCCGATGTTAAATGTAGATGCACGGATCCTGGGTTGTTGCTGCCTCGGGCTAATTTGACTTTCTGGAGGGATGGGAGTTTAGTGCGAGAACGTAATGCCATGCTTCCCACAATTTCTTCTAAGGTTTGCTCATTCTTTTCCTCCTCTTAGATAAAAGAAAAAACATAAAGGGACTTATCGTTTGATGTGAATATTAAATTGCTAAATGGTTAGAATGGCTTAACCTAAGTGTTGCATGGTATTGACCATATTGAGTAAATTGCATAAAGCCCAAATTTGGAATATTTGCATAAAGATTAATTCTTTTGACAATCCCAACATGGATTAGGTTATGGTTCAACTTGGTTGTAAAGCCAATCCTATACTCCATTAACCCTGTCTGGTCAAACTTCGAATCTTTCTCAAAAGCATATCATGAATTGGCAACTCTTAACTTTAAAGTGTATATCATTTGTGCTGCTATAATTTACGTGTTTGCTTTTACAGTAGCATTTTTGTGAGTGTCAAAGCTTATCTTTTGGTCTCATACTCTAGCTTTCAATTTATTCAGGATTGGTTGGACATTGATTTTGGGATTGCAGAGGGTGTTGATTTTATCGCTGTATCTTTTGTCAAGTCTGCTGAAGTGATTAATCATCTTAAAAGCTATATTGCTGCACGGTCTCGAGATAGGTAAAGTAAAGTCCTGAATATGCGTGCATTCTCAGACGTTTTATGTTGTATAGAAGTGCATATATATATATATATATATATATATTATATTATATTATATTTCTTGGTCATATGTTATCACGTCATCATGAAACCTCCTTTCAATTGTTACTGTGGACTGCTCTTGTTGGTTTTCTCATTGTTAAGTGATTTGACATGTTTTCAACTTCTGTGTGCATTTTGTGAGACTTGTGGTTGGTCAAAGTTCTCTTAATGTGTTGGCTGTGCAGTTAGTTTAATTGAATAATTAAAGATCACCTATCTGCCACTTGAATTAGATCTACTGAGATTAATATCATTCCACTTTTGATTAATTTTTTGTCTATTTTGGGAATTGTCTTTATATCCAATATCCAATATGGTTAATGTGTGTTTCTCATTTAAGCTGATAATATTCATTTTTTAATCATGTTGGTGCAGCGATGTTGCTGTCATTGCAAAGATAGAGAGTATTGACTCACTAAAGAACTTGGAAGAAATTATTCTAGCATCAGATGGAGCAATGGTAGCAAGAGGAGATCTAGGTGCTCAGATACCGCTAGAACAGGTACCAGCAGCCCAGCACAGGATTGTTCAAGTTTGTCGGCAGCTAAATAAGCCAGTCATTGTGGCTTCTCAACTACTCGAATCTATGATTGAATATCCTACACCAACTAGAGCTGAAGTGGCTGATGTTTCTGAAGCAGTGAGGCAGCGAGCTGATGCTTTGATGCTCTCTGGTGAGTCTGCTATGGGCCAGTTCCCGGAGAAGTCATTGGCTGTTCTCAGAAGTGTTAGTCTGAGGATTGAGAGATGGTGGAGGGAAGAGAAACATCATGAAGCTATGGAACTCCCAGGCGTTGGATCGTCATTTTCAGACAGTATTTCAGAGGAGATTTGCATTTCTGCTGCCAAGATGGGTAAGCATTATTTGATTGATATCTGTCAGTAGTTTTACTAAATACGTTTCTAAGTGAGGTAAGTTCAGCAATTATCCGTGTGTTACGTAAAATGGCAGATCTGCAAAGAGAGTCTTGATATATGAAGCTTCGGTATGCTGCTAGTACGGATTTTACACCAGGATGTACAATACGTGTCATCTAAATCAGTCGGTCTAAGAAAATAACAAAAGCAACAATGCCATTTATACCAAGCACATACCCCCACACACAAAGCAATGTTGAGATAATCATCTAGTGTTCTATATGTGATTTTGTACGTTTTGGTTGCCAGATAATGTTTTGATTAATTACTTTCCGATCTGTTTTCCTTTTATATATTGTTGAAAATGCACTGATCGTCCTAGTTGTTGAGAAGCTGAATGAAAATGTCCAATGACATAAATATGATGTTTTCCCTCTATTTATAAATTGTGTTTTTTAAACTGCATTTCAGCTTCATCTATGTATTTGTACATTTTTTGTTCGTTCATGTCTTGATTGATTCTTGTCCTCCTCTATAGGAACTCATACTATGGTATATACTAGTTCGTTTCATGAGACTCTGAGTCCAGTAGTGCATGTACTTATGTTATCTGTTTTCAGAAAAATTGTTTAAAAACTTGTTACTGTATATATTAGATACCGCAGTTGTAGTATACTAATCTGGATATTGCATCAAGAGTTTCATCAAAAAGTGCATCCAGAATAGGGTTCAATAAAATGAGAAGTTTTCATATAATGACAATATGTGCCCTTTTTCCTCCTTGTGTTTGTTATGCTTGGCCTCACCTGTCTCTTGGCCCTCGGCGACCTACTAAGCTGGTTAATGTAATGCAAATGACTGAATTTTTTTTTATTATCGTCCCTTGCTGTTGGATTGTATACTTGTTTTCATCATTGTTTTTTGTTGCATGTGGAACCATATCTTAATGTGAATTGTGATTTTGCAGCTAACAATTTAGGGGTAGATGCTCTTTTTGTCTATACAAAGACGGGCCACACGGCATCTCTCCTGTCACGCTGCCGGCCTGACTGCCCAATCTTTGCTTTTACTAACACAACATCTGTGAGGAGGCGTCTGAACCTACAGTGGGGTCTGATACCATTTCGGGTGAGCTTCTCTGATGATATGGAAAGCAACCTGAATAAAACCTTCTCACTGCTCAAGGCCAGGAATTTGATCAAATCAGGTGACCTTGTTATTGCTGTCTCAGACATCTTGCAGTCCATCCAAGTTATGAATGTTCCTTAAAAACTGGATTTCATTTGGATTGCAAGTGTTTTCTTGATCCTTCTAGATTCGGTTATATCTATCGAACTGCTACGTTCATTGCTGCAATTTGGTTCTCGGTTGAAAGAAAAGGGGGTAATATGGAGATAATCAAATTTCCTTTATTGATCTGACCGGGGCCTTGCTTCAAGATCCACCATGGAATTTGTCAGGTTTATGCCCGCTTGAGCTGCTTGGTTTTTTGTTTTTTGTTTTTTAGTTCATGATAGTGCCTTGTGACATTAATTTAGTGTTAGGGTGAGATATGACAAGAATTGTCCTTGAAAGGCCTATATCTTTATGTTTTGGCGTTGCACAAATAGTTTACCTTATGCATTGTATTGCCTTGTTCAACTTTAAAATATGTGTTTTGATGTGTTTCTGAGATTGCATCAAGCATGATCAACAATAACCATTTTCAAGTTATTGTTTAATGTTAAGTGGTGAATTGCATTCTTAGAGCATCCACAATGGGGGGGTGAATAAGGGGGTGTATGTTAAATATATACCCCTTGTCACCGGAATAATCTCCAATTGGGAGATGTAAAAGGTGGTAAACATACATCACCACCATGGAGATATAAACTAAAATGCACATTTACATATATTTTTACACCCTTTGCAGGCGGGACCCACCCAAGAAAAGAGAGAAAAAATGAAAATTTACATCCTTTTCCATTGAAGCAAAAAACGTATTTACACCCTCTGGAGGTGTAAAGGGAATGTAAAAGTGCCTTTACACCCCCGAAAATACACCATCTACTGTGGATGCTCTTAGAGCATCCACAATGGAATGGTGTATAAGGGGGTGTATGTTAAATATACATCCTTTGTCGCCGGAATAATCTCCAATGGGAAGATGTAAATGGTTGTAAAAATACACTTCCACCATGGAGATGTAAAATTAGATACACATTTGCATCTTCTTTTACATCCTTTGTAGGCGGGACTCATAAGAGAAAAAGGGAAAGAGAAGTATTGAAATTCAAAATGGAAAGCCTAGATTTCATGCAATTTGCATTGCACTTCCTATGGCCCATATTTGTACATAGATATTTTTATGTTAGTTTGTAGGTAAAATCATATGTTCTCCAAATTTAAATTTTTTAAGTCCATTTATTTGGAAAAATAAAATAAAGTAACATGCACAAAATTAATTTTAAAAAGTTAAAACATACAAAAACATACAAAAAACACAAAAAAAAGAATTATCACAAACAAATTGAATATGCATCTTTGAATTTACATCGTTTTCCATTGGAGTAAAAAACATATTTACACCCCCTAGAAGTGTAAAGGGGATGTAAAAGTGGTTTTACACCCCCGAAAATACCACCCCCCTCCCCCCTAACTGTGGATGCTCGTATAACTTATTCGCTTTTGGTCTTGCTAGGCCAAGACTGATTGTTGCAGGTATTAGGGTAGTAATATTATTATGAGTTCTTGGATACACTTCTTTCGTGAGATCAAATTTAGCTAGGAACCTAGATTGAGAAAATCCATTCTATCCCGATTTTGTGGAGAGTTTCATCAATAGCACAATTAAGTGGAGACAATTACCACTAAACTAAAGATTCGTTGGTAAATCCGTGAGCTTGGTCATATCAGAAGGCAAAAAATCAATACAAATTTATAAATAAACTCAATCCTAGACATGTATTTATAAAAAAACTCAAATACTATTTAAACATAGAAACACACCCAAAATTAACAATTGTATATTTTTTGGGTGTGTTTATAAATGGGTTTTGAGTGTGTTTAATGATGGGTTTTTGGTGTGTTTCTATGTTTAAATAGTGTTTGGGTTTTTTTATAAATACATGTCTAGGATTGGGTTTTTTTATAAGTATCCCAAAAATCAATTATCCTTAATTATCATTATTAGTATTTTTGGAACAAGCGATCTTGACAACACGAGGATGCCTCACTCACTAATAAAGCAAATGGAGCCAACCTTACACCACAACATTGGTTTCTCTGAAAACTCGACAAAAGCTTGCACCAGAAAGCCAAGCAAGCAACACTAGAAAGTATCCTTAATTATCTACATTTGGTGAGCTTCAAGCCTTCAAACCCAAGATGACAAATCAAGTTCAAATTAGGAAATTAAAGTATATAACCCATGACTCAAATAAAACATATTTCCCAAAAATAAAATAAAAACATTTTTCATATATTTTTCATGTAATTGCCACAATTTCCGTACGAAGATATACAAAAGGCTTTTTAAGAAAAAAAACATGAAAACATACAACTAAGATATATTTTGAACAGAAGCACGGCAAAGGGGACAGCAGCTTTTCCAGGTGCTTAACCATTCATCAATGCATGGCTTGTGAAACGAATGGTTACAGTTAGCAAGCAACCTGCACTTTTGACCCTCCATAAACTCGTCCAAGCAAATTACACACTCATCAGCAGTAGTAGTAGAGAAGCTTTGATCAGTTCTATACGTGAAGACTGTTGATTCCTGCGGTGGCGGCGTTTCCTCAGCCACCACTGCAATATATCTGGCATGGTAATTTGAATAAGGAGCTCGATGATAAAGAATTGACGGCCGTAGATTTGTTAATTGCGCTTCAAGATCATCAACGTGCCTTCCACCACTGCAGAACCGAAGTATGAGGTACACGATGAGCAATGAAAGATTGGAGATTCCATAGAATGCTAGAAAAAATATTATTGGTAGAGTTATCATGGCCATCAGTGGTGACTCTTCAATCATCATTATTGTGTAGCTGAGATCGTTTGCAGTAGTTTTAGCTTTCTAACAATGCGATATTCTAAATTGGCGCAATCCACTTATGCTACTACGTAGTTTTACTTCGAACTTGGTATGGCCTGGCTCCTTCTGGCGTCTTTGGTATTTATAGAGTTCTGTTGAGTCCTTCTCCAACTGAGAAAGCAGTGCTTGGCCTTTCCTTAAACGAATAGGAAATAATAGGAAATTCATTACAATTCCTTACCACATTAGGAAAACAAAAAATTTTCCATTAGTTCGAAGTTTAGGTTTGTAGTTTTACAATTCCTTATCACATTAGGAAAGCTTGGGCTTAAATTTTTTTCGTATTTTTTTAAAGCTGAAAAAAGAGATTTCAAGCCTCATTCAGAGTTGAGCAATTGAGAGAGGGAGAAGAGCCTCTAAACCCTAATAAGAACCCTAGACACCCAATATTTCAAGAATCAATACCAACCATGACTACCCTGCCACCGGAGCTTATCTTGGACATCCTTTTACGGCTTCCGCCCAAGGATTTGATACGATCCCTGTGCATTTCAAAGGCTTGGTATGCTTTCATCCACGACCAACGCTTCATCAACGCCCATCTCCTACGCTCCACTGAAACCAACTCTCTAACCATTTTAATCACGTCATGTCAGCGCCGTCCTCCACCACCACCAGATTTATTTTCATTGCCCTTTAGCGACAACAATACCAGCGGTACAGCCGTGAAAGCTGAGAAGCCGTTCAAATTCCCTGATGCCTACGATGTCTTAAGGTTAACGGGCCATTCTGTTCATGGTCTGTTTTGCATTCAAAGAAAGGACGAGAGGTATATGGCTTTGTGGAACCCGTCAATTCAAAAGTTGAAGAAGATTCCCTTGCCCACCTTTGGGAACAGAAAAAGATATCCCCTCTATGGATTAGGGTATGATTCAGTTAATGATGACTATAAACTTGTGGGAATGGTGACGGACTTTGTTTATAATAATAATAGAAACGGGTTCAGTCGGAATGTTCAAGTTCAAATTTACAGCCTAAAATCCAACTCATGGAAAAGGATCCAAAACGCGCTTCTTTTTAGTAGTATTTCTTCGGGTCGCACTCCCATTATGTTCTGCAACGGTGCTATGAGTTGGCTGATGGTTAACGAGGTCGATGGAAATCGGTACATAATTCAAACCCTTAATCTTGCCAGTGAGAAATATTGCCAGTTTCCCTTCCCCTTGGTTCTGATAAGCGATGATATCGTCAGTTTGGAGGTCTTAGGGGGCTGTTTATGTCTATGTGTTTATTTCCCGACCGGACATGCTGTTTGGATTATGAAGGAATATGGAGTGACAGAATCTTGGACCCTGCTTTATTCTTTCGAGAATAAAGCTGTGCCTTCAGGTGTGGGTTTTTTCTCCAAACCTTTGGTGTTGTCAAAGAATGGTGAAATGGTTTTGACACATAACGGAAGAGCCTTTTTTTGGTATGATTTAAGGAACAAGAGTTTCAAACAAGTTCAATTTAGTTGTCCTCTGTTAACTCAACTTCACAGGACAACTTTTTATGTCGGGAGTCTTTGTCTTCTTGATGGTGATCCTGTTATTGCTGAGAGAGGGGCACCAGCTACCGCCGATCGATGTGATTTAATGTTAAGTAAACTTGATTTGGCCACTTGATACTAATTTTCAGTATAAAAAATAGTACCTGCCACATTGGCAATTATATGGCGACCTTTCAATCTGCTTTCCTCCATATCATCTACCACCAAATTATGTGGAACAGTTCTAAGAGATAGACACATAAGTCATATATTTTATGTTTGAAATTTTATTAATTATTGTATTAGTTGGAGTGAATTCGATACACCACATCAATATGTTATATGATATCCTCTCTATTTTTTTTCCATTTATTTAGATGCGATGCCGCTTTCAAATCTTTTTTCTTTGTCGTACAAAAACAGTCTTTGACTTGCACTTTGGAGTTCTGATTAGAAAGGAATATTGTATTTCGTTTCAATTTCAATAAATGAAACAAGAGGCATTTGATATTCCGTTGCTTTGGAGTTATGATTAGAAAGGAATATTGTAGACGATTGACGTAAAATTCCTGAAATAAAGCTAGAAACATTCAAATGATAGAGTGTCTTCTCTATGAGATTGAAATAAAATGTAACATTACTCTTTGATCATAAGCTAAAGTTGCAGGCCACATACTGTTCACATCATGTTACTGATAACCAGTTTTACCAAAAAGTAGTTGTACACTTCTACTTTGTAATAATATAGTGAAGAAATTGCCAATTGAGGAATGGATGATGATCCTATTGGAGTGCCAACAACAATTTCTTTTCTCCATTCATTTATAATTTGGGACTTCAAAGAAGATTAAAAATGTTAGGGTATAAATAAACCCAAAATCTTTTGCCCAACATTTAAAAAAAAACAAGTTCTTGCCAAGCCTTGACCGATGAGGTGAAGAAAGTTTTGACTAAGCTAAAGCAATCAAAAAGCTGCCACGTATGCAAGCCTTGATCGATAGGTTATGTGTCAACTCTTATAAAGAATTTCATTGTACATGTTTTTCATATTTTCTTTTATTAAAACCTAAAATAATAAAGAAATATTTTAAAGTATAGCCGAGCGGCTATACTCTTTAAATATATTAAAATACTTACAGAGTATAGCCGTGCGGCTATAACCTTTAAATATATTAAAATATATTATATATGAAAAAAAAGAAAAAAAGAAAAAAGGGTTCTTGCCAAGCCTTAACCCATGAGTGTGAAAGTTTTGACTAAGCTAAAGCAGTCAAAAAGCTGCCACGTATGCTAGTCTAACTGCTACTTCTAAAGAAACCAATCTCCCTCCATTTCCAGTTGTAGGCAAAACGAAAACAGAGTTGAGCAACTGACATTTCTTGGAGGAAAGCTAAGCTAACAAATCTTTCTTTCAATCCCAAATGTACAAATAATCTCTAAACCCTAAAAACTCAATCTTTCTTTCGGCCCCAAATCCACAAATAACCTCCTAAAAACCCAATCTTTCTTTTGACCCCAAATTCAGAAATAACATCCCCGATCTTCCAAGATTCACCCTGCAATGTCCTTCCTCCCACCGGAGCTAATCTTCGACATTCTTTCACGGCTTCCGCCCAAGGATTTGATGCGATTCCTCTGTGTTTCCAAATCTTGGTATGCTTTAATCCACGACCAAATCTTCATCAAAGCCCATCTCCAGCGCTCCATTGAAACCAACTCTGCTCCTCTAACCATTTTACTCAGGAAATTTAGTCCCGAATGTCCTCCATCACATTTCTTTTCATTGTCCTTCAGCGATAACGAGACGATCGGAACAGCCGTGAAAACCGAGCAGCCGCTGAAATGCCCTGACGAATACACTGACATTTTGTTGGACTACTCTGTTCATGGTCTGGTTTGGATTCACAACGATGACGAGAGCGATATGGCTTTGTGGAACCCTTCAATTCAAAAGTTCAAGAAGATTCACGTCCCGAACTTTGAACCGGATGCATCATCATCTTCTGGTTCAGAGATGGAGCAACGAAGAAAACCAAGGGACACCTGTTATGGCTTCGGGTATGATTCTGTTCATGATGACTATAAACTTGTGCGAATTTTAGAGTTTGCAAATGAAGGCAAAATTGTGGGTTCTCAAGTTCACATTTATAGCCTAACATCTAACTCATGGAAAAGGATCCAAGACATGCCATGGAATAGTTTTGGAATTCATCACGATTATCTCATGTTTTGCGACGGTGCTCTGAGTTGCCTCGTTTATAACAGGTTTTGTACAAATGAGGTCATAATTCTAACCCTTAGTCTCGCCAGTGAGGAATATAGCCAGTTTCCCATCCCCGTCCATCATCTGAATATTAATGAGTCTAGGCTGAGTTTGGAGGTCTTGGGGGGCTTTTTATGTTTGGTTACATTTTTGGAGACCCGACATGATGTTTGGATTATGAAACAATATGGAGACGCGGAATCTTGGACCCTGCTTTATTCTATTGAGGGGGGAGATTTGCCCTGGTTGATTGATTTTATGTGCGAACCTTTGGTGTGCTCAAGGAATGGTGAAATGGTTCTTTTGTCGGATAACAACACTACGTTTTTTTGGTATGATTTGAAGGAGAAGAGTTTTAAACGAGTTAAATTTCATGGTCGGCCCTATTTATATGAAATGACAGTTGTTTGTTGGGGGAGCCTTTGTCTTCTTGATGGCGATCCTGTTATTGCTGAGCCTGAGACTGAGAGGCAGCAGAAAGTCCCCACTACCTCTACGAAAAGGAAATCTTCAAGCAGCGAAGACGAAGAAACGTATGATGATTGGTACTAGAGAGGAAAGTCATTAATTGGCGTGCGTGACAAGGGTGAGTTAGCTCATATCATTACAAATCACCTCTGTTTTCGGTGTTTTTGTTGTGTTTCCTGCTACATTTTATTGACCTTCCACGCCAATGAGGCTTCAAGATGCAAACCTTCTGAGTGAATGACGGTCTTATCAGCATACTGTTTCATGCTGTTTCATATTTTCTTTTGAGAATGCATCATGATCTTTCGTTGTTAGTAAATTTCAATTCATCTAACTACCCATCTACTTTGTTTACCTTTCAATATATACAATAAATGATATCAAATTCTGGTGTAATCAAAAGCAAGTGAACTAATGCATCATGATCTTCCTATATGATCCAATACCTAGACAGAGAGCCGTATTTGGTGTTTGTTTCCATCAAATTTGTATAAATTGCACCACTCAATATATATATGCAGTCATATATACCTGAGAGAAATTAATTCACTTCAGCTAAGCATGTATTGCATGCAGGAAATACATCTGCCATGCAACTTGTTGAGCCTAATATATGTTTGGGGTCTTTATCTTAAAAAATAGCTTGCTTTGTTTGGGCATCCAAATAAAGACCATCCTCTTTTGAATTTTCTTTGTTAATACATACTTGTTTCTTCCTTTTTTTGATTAACTACCTTGTCGACCACATATTTAACCAAAACCAAAGCCTCATGGTCAATCTTCGTGTGAAATGTACCAAATATGTGTTGGCTCTTGGCCTTTATACTCAAGACCTTCTCTAATCAAATTGTAATGCAATAGATTAGCATCTCCTGTAGGATTCAACACCAATCAGATCACTTCATATATGAATAAGAATAAATCCTTGGGTGAGAGATATTGCTGGGAGGCAGCCATGGCAGACGGTGGGTGGTAGGAGGTTTGGGTCCCCAAGGGAGGTGGGTTCGGGAACATTAATCTTGCTAGAAGTACCCTTAATTGTCTATATTTAGTGAACTTCAAGCATTCAAACCTCCATATCAAATTTTCAAAAGGAAGGGAAATTAAAACAAGATTGGGTTATATTGATGTTAAGATTTAAGGTAATGGAAGGTCAATGACGCGTATGAATTCACTCAAAATCAGGAAGGGAAATTAAAATAAGATTAGGTTAATGTTAAAATTTAAGGTAATGGAAGATCAATGACGCATATAAATTCACTTAAAGTCTGGAAATTCATTACAGTTACTTATCACATTAGGAAAACCAAAAAACGTTCCATTAGTTCCAAGTTTTTTTATATTTATTTATAAAGAATCCGGGCGAGTTTGGCATTGCTTTGCTGTGAAAATAATCGCTGTCAGATTTGCTGTGAGAGAAATCAGCTATGAGAGAAAGCAGTTTAGCGTTTGGTAAATTTTTTGTTAAAAGTGTTGTTGGTATTGATTTTACGCATAATCAAAAAATGATTGCCGCATAATCATTAAACCCAGCGCATCTTCGAAACTAATTCCTGCATAATCAGAAAATGAAAGCACCTCATTAGCTGCTTTCCCTTATAGCTTTCTCTCACAGCAATTTTTAACAATAAGTGATTTTCTCACAATTTACCAAACGGGTTGGGCTTCTCAAAATTTTTAAAAAATCACTTATCATCCCAAATAAGCAATGCCAAACTAGCACTCAGAGTTGAGCCAGCCTCTAAACCCTAATTAAAAACCCTCCCTTAAAACCCTAATAAGAACCCAATATTTCGAGATTCAACTAACCATGTCGATCCTCCCACCGGAGCTAATCTTGGACATCCTTTTACGGCTTCCGCACAAGGATTTGATACGATCCCTGTGCGTTTCGAAAGCTTGGTATGCTTTCATCCACGACCAACGCTTCATCAAAGCCCATCTCCAACGCTCCATTGAAACCAACTCTGCTCTTCTATCCATTTTAATTTGGTCAGATAACCCCGAAGATGCTCCCTCAGGTTTCTTTTCATTGACCTTTAGGGACAACGAGACGATCGGGGCAGCCGTGAGAACTGAGCACCCGTTCAAATACGCTGACAATTACACAGACATATTGGGCAACTCGGTTCATGGTCTGGTTTGCATACGCAACTGTGTCGATTGGGAAATTGCTTTGTGGAACCCGTCAATTCAAAAGTTGAAGAAGATTCCCTTCCCAAGCTTTGAGAAGCCGCAATTCACCGCTTACTATGGATTCGGGTATGATTCTGTTCATGATGACTATAAAGTTGCGGGAATAGGGGATTGCCATACTGAGAGTCGTCAAGTTCATATTTATAGCCTAAAATCTAACTCATGGAAAAGGATCCAAAACATGCCTTGCAATCATTTTGATTTTCATTCAGATTATATCGTGTTCTTCAACGGTGCTCTAAATTGGCTGATGCACCCGGTGTTAGATGAAACCCCGCACATAATTCAAACTCTTAATCTTGCCAGTGAGGAATATTGCCAGTTTTCCACCCCGGTCGATCTGGATAACGTGACGCTGTCTTTGGAGGTCTTGGGGGGCTGTTTATGTCTCTGTGTTGATCGTTTCGGGGCCGCACATGATGTTTGGGTTATGAAGGAGTATGGAATGACAGAATCTTGGACCCTGCTTTTTTCTATTGAGCCAGAAGCTGTGCCTTCGATGCATGTTCATTCTTTCAAACCGCTGGTGTTGTCAAAGAATGGAGAAATGGTCCTTTTGAAGTACAAGTTCTACGATTCTGTGTTCTTTTGGTATGATTTAAAGAAAAAGAGTTTCAAACAAGTTGAATTTCGCGGTCATCCCCATGTATCTACAGTGGCAGTTAGTGGTGTCGGGAGCCTTTGTCTTCTTGATCCTGTTATTGTTGGAAGGGATCGACAAGTCCCCTCTACCTCTAAGAAGAGGAAACTTTTAAGCAGGGAAGGGTCTCTCGATCTGGTTGTCAAATCAACAAAAGATGATCAGAGTTAATTGGCGCGACACAGAGTTAGGGGATGATCATTTTCATGAATTTTTTTCTTTTTAATTGGTAACAGTATATTTTAGTTTGTTTCTTAGTTTGCTTTGCAGACTTGTTTACAATGCATATCACTACAACTCGCCTTTAAGAAGTTCGTAGTTGTGTGAAAAAAATAGAAGTTGAGAATTGCAGTCACCAGCAGCAGTGCTTACATTTAAGATAGAATTGCAGTCAGCAGCGCTTATTTTAATATTTTAACAATTTCTCTTCTCTATTAATTTATAATTTGGGACTTCAAAGAAGATTAAAAGTGTTAGGGTATAAATAAACCCAAAATGTATATATATAAATTCTTGCCAACCCTGACCCATGGTTTTAACAGTATAGCCGGGCTGTGTCTAATAATGTTAAAATATTTCTAGCCGTGCGGCTATACTCTCGAATATTTTAAAAGGACAGCCGACCGGCTATACTCGTTAAATATATTAAAATATTTAGTATAGCCGCGCGGCTATACCCGTTAAATAAATTCAAATATTTTAGGCTTTTTATCACAAATGGTCCTTCAGGTTTACAAAATTATCACGAATCGTCCTTCAGTTTTTTTGTGACACTAATAGTCCTTTAGGTTATTATCCACCCATCAAAATAGTCATTCTGTTAGTTTCTATTAAAACTGAAGTTAAACTCACGTGCTCATCCTGCTTTTTGAAATATAATCTCATCATTGCACTCAACCTTCGACCAAACCCAACTATCAGAACTCTAACTTGCAATCACAGCCTCTTTGAATTTACTTTTGTTAGGAAAGTGCATACCAATATCAAAGCTTGGATTCCTCAACATAGACTCTCTCCTCCATTGTCGATAGTTAGGAACTATGTTGGTCCTTTTCTTCTTGCTGCTAACTTCATCATCCACATCAGATTCATCATACCCATGTTTGCTATGAAAATCCTCAGAGTTTTCCAAATGGTCTAAAATCTTCCCTGCAAAACCCATCTCTTCATGCTCCTCTTCAATCGGATTATTTATATTTTCCTCAAACATATTATTATCGATCTCAATCTCTTTAGCTTCTCCTATTTGCTCATAGTCACTATCTATGAAGTCTCTATCCAATGGATCTTCCTCATCTTCATTTTGTTCCTCTTCAACCTCACTGTCGTTTTGCCCTTCATATAGTACCTTAAAAGGCTCATTTTCCCCCCAGTTGGGTTTGGTCAAAAAGGTTGAGTGGAATGATGAGATTATATTTCAAAAACAAGATGAGTACGTGAGTTTAACTTCAGTTTTAACAGAAACTAACATAAGGACTATTTTGATGGGTAGATGATAACCTAAAGGACTATTAGTGTCACACAAAAAACCTGAAGGACAATTCGTGACAATTTTGTAAACCTAAAGGATCATTTGTGATAAAAAGCCAATATTTTAACAAGAACTATACTCCTTATTTAACAAGAACCCAATGGAACAATCGAAGGTTGAATATGAGGATTTGTTCGCATCCATCCCAAATTGGAACTGACACCACCAAATATCGGGTGGTTTGGTGCGGTAAAAGCCATATTCAGCCGAGGGGCCCCTGGAAACCCCATCGTGGTTGTCGACGACGTCACTACAGTGCTTGTTACTGTGGCGGTGGTCCGTTAGAAGTGGGGTGGTCCCGATGGCTTGGTCAGAGAGCTCGAATTTCTTCCAAAATCGATTTTTGGGAAGCGGTGTTTTGATCTTGTTGAGCAACGAGAGTTTGTTGCACTTGTGTCATATTCGTTTGCACAGCAGCTTGTTGTACTACGATTGCGGTCACAGCGGCTTGGACCTCTTGGATTTGTGAGTCCCACAATTCGTGTTGAGCATCAAGCTCGGCCTCGGCGATGGCAGCGACCTCCATGGAGTCGGCCAACTGTCCTTTCCTCCCCATGGTAAGAAACCAGGCTCTAGATACCAAATGGTAGGACCTTAGATCTGAAAGAGAAACTTGCAGAAAAACAGAGAAAAGGAGAAAAGGAAATTTATTTCATTTCATTCATGCCTCTCAAGCAAAAGAGAAGGAGAAAGTTGTTATTCTGTGTGGTGTGGAATTAGGTCCATTAGACTACAAGGCTTATTATATTTGTAATGATTCTTTTTGGGTTTACTGTAACAACATTAGTTTGTATGTTAGTCTGCAGAATTTTTTTAATGCAAATTTATAAATAAACCCAATACTAGATATGTATTTATAAAAAAAACTCAAGCACTATTTAAACATAGAAACACACCCAAAATCAACCCCAAAATCAACAATTGTATATTTTTTGGGTATGTTTATAAATGGGTTTTGAGTGTGTGTAATGATGGGTTTTGGGTGTGTTTATAAAGTGTTTTGGGTGTTGGGTTTTTTTATAATTTCAGCCCCCATTTTGGGTGTTTCAGTGAAACTCTCTTTTGTTAACTCATATCATTACAAATCACCTTCGTTTCAGTAGTCGAAATAATTTTATTTGTATTTTTGCTTTGGCTGATCTTCCGGTGCTTGGTACATATTTTAGGTGAGTATTGTGTAAAACATAGAAGCTGACTGACTGAACGGAATTTTTAGTGTTTGGTGTTGTTTCAACTTGCCATGAGAAATATCTTTGGTTATCTATTGTAAGGAAGAACCTTTCACACCAATGAGCTTCAAGAAGTAAACATTCTGAGTCATTATTTTTCTCTTTATTGTTACAGTGTTAGTAAGTTTCCTAGGTTTACTCGGTTTACTAGGTTTCCTAGGTTTACACGGTTTACTAGGTTTCCTAGGTTTACTAGGACAATAAACCCTGTAAATAGCACTCCTAAAACAATTGACGATTATCCTAGCTCTGCTATCGTTTGTCCCAAAAATATATAAAAAAAACCTACGTCCAAGAGCACAATAATAACCCCTATACCCTATACCCTATACCCTAAACCCTAATCTTAAACCCCTAAACCCAACCATGTTAAACATCCCACGGGAGCTAATCTGGGACATCCTTTTACGGCTCCAGCTGAAGGATTTGATCCGATACGGATGTGTTTCCAAAGCTTGGTATGCTTTCATCCACAACCAAGACTTCATCAAACCGCATCTCGAAAGCTCCATCAAAACCAACTCTACTCGCACCATTTTACTCCACACTACTCCCTCATATTTCTTATGGTTGCCTTTTGACAACGATGAGAAGCTCGGGACAGCCACGGTAGTCAGGTTTTCGATTCCGTCAAAAGACCCAGTAAGGGAAAGTACTGTGACAGTGGGCTATGCCAATGGTCTGGTTTGCATACGCAACTGTATCGATGAGGATATTTCTTATATTACTTTGTGGAATCCGTCAATTCCAAAGCTGAAGAAAATTCCCATTAGAACACATGAACCACGTGCACAGCCATCACCAAAATCAGAGAGGTTGGATATATATGGATTCGGGTACGATTCAACCAATGACGACTATAAATTAGTGGGGATTATTAGGAAGCCTGCTGATGAGTATGAAGTCAGTGTTTATAGCCTAAAAGCCAACTCATGGAAAAGGATCCAGAACATTCCTTGCTGTGGTTTTTCGTTATTTGCACATAACAATCACATGGTATTTTCAAAGGGCGCTCTAAGTTGGCTCATGTGGAAAAAGTTACACAAAGAACTTCAGTACGTTATCGTAACTCTTGATCTTACCAGTGAGAAATATCGGGAGTTTCCCATCCCGGTGGATAGGATTGGTGAAATTGAAAATCCTATGCTGGAATTGGATGTTCTGGGAGACTATCTGTGTATTTGTGTTAATCGTTTCATGGATCAATGTGAGGCTTGGATTATGAAGGAATATGGAGTGACAGAATCTTGGAGCCTGCTTTATTCTATTGAAGCGCTTTATATTATTGACATGCTTTATGTGGAGTTTCGGACCTACAAACCTTTGGTGTTTTCAAAGAATGGCAAAACGGTTCTTTTGAAGATGAGCAAAAATTTCAAGTCCGATAGTCTTGTTTGGTATGATTTAGAGAAAAAGAGTTTCAAACAAGTTGAAATTAGTGGCCTGCCCGGTTTATTCAAACCAACCATTTGCTGGGGGAGCCTTTGTCTTCTTGATGGCGATCCTGTTATTGTTTAGAGGCCAGCAGCAAGTCCCCTCTACCTCTAATTAAGAAGAGGAAAACTCCCTCTCGATCTATAGTCAACGCCAAAAAAAAAAAGGGATGATGATCAGAATTAGGGAGAAAAGTAGTTCACTGGCGCCACAATGGTGAATTTGCTAAGGAGTCCTTCAGACTACTAGGCTTATTAATCTTTGTAATCATTATTTTTCTGTTTATTGTAACAACGTTATTTTGTTTGTTTGTCTGCAGATTGTTTTTAACTCGTATCATTACAAATCACCTCCTTTTTGTTAGTCGAAATATTTTTATTTTTATTTGTTGGTCTGGCTGAGATATATCTTTGGTTTGGGAATGTTATCTCCCTCTCCATGTTGTTAACTTTTTCTATCTGGACCTCTTTTGGGCCTGCGTGCTGAATCGAAAGAAGAAGAAGAAGAAGCAAGCGATGTTGGGCTCTTGGACTGGAATTTGTGGTGTTTGGCGTTGTTTCAACTTAGTTGGATTGTGACCAAAGTAAGCTATAATAGCATTCGTGGTTTTGTTGTGTTTCCTTCCTGCTACGTTTTATTTATTGACCTACACCTTTTCTGATATGAAGGCAATAGAGGCTTCAAGAAGTAAACCATGCCATGCCATGAGGAGCATCTTCGGTTATCTTTGCAATGAGGCTTCAAGAAGTAAAATCTTCAGAATGATTGATGATTTAGTCCCTCCTATCAGCATAATGTCACATGCTGTTTCATATTTTCTTTTGAGAATGAATCATGATCTTTCTTTGTTTGAGTAAATTTCAATTCATCTAATATACTTTTACCTTTCAAAATATACAATAAATCAAATTCTGTGGATTTTGTTTGAGCAAGTGAACTTATGCGCCTTCCTTTACACTGGCCTTATTGATCATTTTAATTAATCTTTTTTCTTTTTATGGTAACACTAACAGTATTAATTTGTTTAGGTAGTCCAATAATTCTTTGTTTTTTGTCTGGCTGATGATCTTTTGGCAAAGTTGAGAAACGAAGAGAATTGCACTCAGCGGTGCTACATTGAAGATAAAATTGCAGATGATGTTTCAACTTTGGTGGTTTCTTATGTTTCCTCCTATGTATATGAGATAAAATTCCCATGTGAGAAGAGCTTGATTACCAAATCCCCACTTTAAATGATCTTTTAGTCTCCCTCTTATCAGCATACTGTTCTACTGCACCATGGACTTCAACTCATCTTGACAGATTGCTCCCGAGCAATATGTTGCTGTGATAACAGTGTAAATGTCAAGGTTTAATTCACTTGCCGATGTATGATGAAGGGGTTCTTTTGAAGAAAAAAAAATTTGGTTTGATTTGGAGAAAACCACAAGCAGTGTTAAGAGTTTCTCAATCTGTTAGTGAAAGCAACAGAAGATTATCAGAATTAGGGAGGAAAGGAAAGTTGTTAATTGGCAGGACAAGGGTGAACGCTGTGGTGCAATTGCAATTGATCTTTGTAATGAATTAGAGCAGATAATGTTTCTCAACTTGGTTGCCTTGTGACCCAAGGAGACAGTATATTTTCAGTTAATTAGTGACAAATATCCCCTTTTGCAGCTCAAAACTTGAGTTCTTTCTCAACACTTATTCTTTTGGGGTAGGAAGGGTCCTCAAGATGGTAAACCTTTCTAATACCACCCAATAACCAATAATTTCTTCCCTCCTCCATCAGTTATTATTGTACAATAACTGAGATTAATTGGGTTAAAACATTCAACTCTGATAAGTGAAAAAGGAGATTTACATGCCATCTGGGGTAATATGATTGCTTGATGAAGTTGAGGTTGGCATAGGTAAATTCTATTTACCACCAAACTACCCTGTAAATCAATGGGATTAAATTCCATGAGACAGGGCCTTGTATAATTAATATGGATTAAGAATACCAGTTGTAGGTGGCATCTGTTATTGGGCCAAATCAATTGGAATGAGAGTTCTTTCTTTGGCATGCTTTCCTTGCAAGCTAGTTTTGCATGAGTCAGTTCTAAGTATGGGGCTATGGGCCTAATGACATTAGGCAGGCACTCACATTGCAGTAGCCTTTGGGGGTGAAAGTACAACCAGAATTGTTTCCCTGCCACAGAAACAATTCTGGTTGCATGATCAAGCATTGGGTGTAAATGTAAGTTGTATCCCTTTGGAAACCCACTTTTAGAGTCATATCCAGATTTAGCCTATATATTCATTAAAGGGAAACATACAAATTAAATTCCTACAAGTCCAATTTGTCCAAATCACTTGTGGTGCATTAAAAAGATAAAGGCTAATGTTACTGAAACCCACCCAACCACATCATCTCTCAACTTACTTAACATTATGCCTCAAAAGTAAAAGGGAAAAAAGATATCAAGAGTCAGTAATTGTGCTTTTTTTGCTACCTTCTACCATGAATGAATTTTTATATGTGCCTGTTATATATCATTTTTCTCTCACAACATCCACGTGAGAGTGAAATCCACCTCATAATAGTGTGACCAATGAATCACGTACATGTTGTGAGAGGAAAGTTATATATAATCAGCATACAATAATCATAATATGAAAGAGCTTTTGGAGAACAAGGAATATGTGGTGTTGCAGGCCTAAGATCAGGACGAAAATCTCTAACAACCCTACTTAGCGCTTTTAACACTTTTCCATTTGCACTTAGAGGCAGCAACATGGGCACCATATTTGTCCTGTCCTTCTTGTTTCTTCTTTTTCCTCTTTTATTTGTTGAATTTTTCAAATCAATCTGTCGAGTAAACTTTGATTTGCCCACTTGATACTGTATTTCAATAGAAGAGGAGGCATAATAATAATCTTTCATGGGAATTTGCTGAGCTAAACACAGGACAATGAGTCAATGACACAATCATACAGTAGTTTGCCTTCAGCTTTCTCCCAGGTGCAAAGCTACAAGTGGGCTCGAACTATCACATTCCAACTTCATATGGGTCCACTTATGATGCCCAGTTGCTTATCTTGAGGTGACTTGAAAGCCCATATAATACCTGCTACATTGGCAATTATATGCAGACCTTTCACCTTTTTTTTTCTTTTTTTTTTGGGTTGGTATTTTAATTTTTAATTTTTTGGGAGGGCTCTAAGAGAAACCTTTCAATTTGATAAGGCTTCTGCCACCAAATATAGCGGTTATTACCTCGCTTTAAGGGAGAAAAACTTGAATAAAACGGAAAAATAACCATATACGTTTATATCTCTTATCACATGATTAGTGGTATTATATACGTTGGTCCTATCAAAGTCTTCTGAGTCAATTTATATAAAGTTGGCATAAACTATTGGACAAAATGGGCTATCACTACCAATGTGAGTTGGAGATCCTCGTTAAACACAAAATTAGAAGAAAAAGGAAAACAATGTTTGTGGAATAGAAACATATTAAGAAAATGTGTGGTGGATTTAACACTTGATGATATCTTGGCATCATCACAGATGGGCCCTACTGTATCAAACCCACATATCCCCCATTATCTTTATCAGTCTGGACCGCTTCAACGAATCAACCCATAAGCTAAACACCATCATGAAGCAGTTAATTATGCAATTATTGTAAAATAGTAACCTAAACCTCATCATAATTATAAAAATATAATATAATATAATAAACAATATCAGGGCATTTGCTCAGGTCGGCTTTTACAAACAAAAAAAAAAAAAAAAAAAAAAAGAAAGAAAGCAAAAAGATGGGAAAAAAAAAGGAGGCCCCAGCTAAAGAATATAACCCCAAATAGTCCAAGCAGATGGGTTCTGGTGTTGGGTGGACAAAGATAAAGCCATCATATCATCTATAGCTTTCCTTACCCGAGCGAGTGCCTTTATGTCCTCATCAATCATCATCTGTCAAATTAAATTAAAAAAGCTAAAACAATTTTAATTCTTGAGGCACCAACTTTGTTGCAATTGATACAAACAAACAAGGCAAACATATCTTTCTTTTTTTATGACTTGTAGATTAGGATGATGTATGTACCTTCTCATCAGGGATGATAACTAAGGAGGTTCTGCGGCGTCAGATCTGTTGACAAAGTCAGGCAAAGGACCTTATCCTAGACATGTGTATTGCATCACATTAATATTTCTTATCTCTCATAATTAAATGAGGTCAAGGTTTAGGATGGTTGTAGATTGTTATCAGGTAATCTTCTCTCTAATGGTATTGATCCATAGATTAAGTTCGTTCATTTGAATTGTAATGGGATCATCCCATCCAATGTATGAAATGATGATGATGCTGAAGATAGTTGTGTTCATGAGTAACTACCAATCGTTGATACATTGTAAGACTTGCATGAATCATCATTATACAGTCATCTACGACTAAAGAGTACTAGAATTATGGGCAGGCAAAGTAATGCATTTCATTATAAATCTAGCGTGTATTGTTCACTATAAAATGTCATCAATAATGTTAATTTATCTATCCGGGGATTTTTTGGTCAATTTTCCTACTGAATTATACATAACTAGTTAATACATCTCTCACCGTAATATTTCTATCAATCTGTTTGAGATGTCATCAAATAAAATTATGTATTCAACATATGATTCACTTTTGAGAGTATCTTCTTTATTATATAAAACAGCCCTAAATAATTATGATTAGCTAGCTAAATAAAGATGGTTAGATGTGACTAGTTTAATAGGGAATAGGAGGTTTGGTAGGCCAACAGATATGGTCCTTTGGAGAAAGATAGAGCAGTAACACTAATGTAGTACATGTGAGTGACATATGCAGTCTATTTAGTACTACTTTAAGTGGTTAAATAGTAGATGGGGCTTTTTTAGTAGGTAGCTTCTGCAGGATGGTCACCAATGTTGGTATTTTAATATTGTTGATCATGACACCCCATCTCTCTCTCTCTCTCTCTCTCTCTCTCTCTCTCTCTCTCTCATCTGCTGTGTTGGGTTCGAATAATGCAATTGGTATTGCATAGATCCAACTTTTAGTAGGAAAACTGATACGTAATCTTTCGTTAAAT